CGAACACAATTTATTGTTCATAATCATATCCGGCTGACGAGTCCCAGGGAGGACAAAACGACCATCCTGCATTCCACTGCTAGTCACCATCCACCAATTAACTTCTAATCCTCATTCCACTGTATTAAATTATTCACTACCTGATAATAGTTCATTGGTAGTTCTTTTACGTTAACACCACACCGACGTTATTATCATTATTATTTTATGATTGTTATTATTATTTGGCATTCTTGAACTTATGTCTAGTGGTGTATTTCTATTTAGTATTCGTATCGTCTCTCACACCACTGACTATACTCGCCTCTTAAAACCTGATGCTTTTTGTTGCTTATAAAAACACAAAGTCATCATTGAATTATTTAATTCCAATTTATCTGATGTTTGTTCTTATTGACTATACATTTTAAGTGAGGAGCCAAACCGACTGATTATTATTCTATCTTTTACTACCGTACCACAATAAGACTTTCTGATGGTAATAATAATTGGAATTTGACTTTACTGGCTATCGTATACTAAAATGAATCAATTTATAAATGTAGAGCCTAACGAAAAAAAAATAATTTGTTCTTCAAACATTCTTCAGAAAACAATACTGTGCTACAATGTGATATATTAAAAAAAAAATGGAATTACTATTTATTTTTTAATTCAATTTTGATTATCCCGTTGATTGATTGAACTGAAATATATTCGAACTCTGTTGACGTTGTCGGCTGCTAGTACGCCGAAGCTTTGATGATATCTGAGGATTAACTTGAAATAATTTAGTGGATGGTGACTAGCAGTGGAATCCAGGATGCACATTTCGTCTTATTCGGGACTCACCAGTTGGATGTACTTGCATTCCCCAGTGAGTAGTGATGTTTCCACTGAGACTCGAACCCAGTACCCATCGTTTCAATTACCAAGCGTTATCTACGAGAGCTAACTGCTGTGCAACGGACATCAGTTATTATTTGTTTTTAATTCAACTTTAATTTCCCACCCACCAAATTATTCCTAGTTAATCCTTAGACATCGTTGAAGACTCTGTACCAGCAGCCAACATGTCAGCAGAGGTCGAATATTTCAGCCCAATCGATCAATGGGAATATCAAAATCAATCAACACCCGTTGCAAAAGAGTGTGGCTCCAATGACAAAAATCTTGTCCAAGTAACTAGTCGATGGTTATCCCGGAAAAGGAAAGATTAGGTAAGGTGAGAAACCTCATTTCGTAACAGCAATAGTGACGCTACTGAAAAAACAAGACTTAAAGTTAAAGATATAAGAATAAAACTTGGGCACTGTGGTAGAGTGTAATTCCATTATGGGTAAATTTTATTTTGATAGAGTCTCACAGTGTTATACAGTAATATTTACTGATGACGTTTCGAGCACAATTTATTGCTCATAATCATATCAAGTTAATCACACGACTTCCTAAATTCATTTATATAGTTCCATTGTTTTTCACTTGATTTTCACTTGATTTGATTGGTAGTATTATTTTCCATATTTCAGGGATGAGTGATGATTCATTCCTATTGCATGTGTTGGGTGTAGATTCGATGAACAAAGATTCAGTAATCAACCTCTCTCTCCACCTACCTAGATTACTTTTTAGAATTTTAACCCTCTCCCACCCTATTGTGTGGTTGTGTGTTAATGCATGCATTGCAATTGCCGAGCTTTTTTCTAAATTACTTATCTTCTCTGGGTCAACCATTCTTACCTTAGCTAAACTCTTATGTTCTGACAATCTGACTACCCCTGACCTACTAGTTTGACCTATGTAGTTGACCTCACAGTCATTGCAGGGTATTTTGTAAATTATATTATTTTGTCTAATTGGGTCCACTGGGTCCTTTAACCTACAGAGCTTGTCCCTGAGTGAGTTTGTAGGTTTAAATGCCACTCTAATTCCTGCTTTATTCAGAATCCTACGTAGGGTCTCAGATGTCCCCTCCTTATATGGTATAACAGTGGATGACTTATATTCTTTCTTATTTATGTTATCATTACTAGTTCCACAATTATTTTTATTTTTATTTTGTTTTTGGCCTTTAGTTATCTTCCTAATGAATTTTAAAGGATAATTATTCAACACCAACGCTTCTTCTATCTGTTTTATCTCGTCGTTTAGGTCTTTTTTTGTGCTACTTAATGCTATGGCTCGGTTTGTTAGACACTTAACTAAGCCTGCCTTAACAGTTAACGGATGCGACGAATTAAAATCTAAATATCTATTAGAATGCGTTGGTTTTCTATACACACTAGTGTGAAGTTTACCTTCTTCTATTCGTTTTATTTTACAATCTAACATAGCTAATTCTCCTTGTTCATTTTCCGATTCAAATGTGAATTTTATCCCCTCTACTAGTGAGTTAATATGTGTCAAGAAGCTAGAGATATGTTCTGTTTTTAACACTGTGAAAGTGTCATCCACATATCTCCACCATATTTTTGGAGTAGGATTAAACGTATTAAGTGCCATATTTTCCCAGCTATCCATAAATATATCTGCTACGATAGGGGATATTGGTGATCCCATTGCTACACCTTCAGTTTGTCTATATATTTTGCCTTGGAATCTAAAGATAGTAGATGTGAGGCATAGCTGAACCCCTAAAATAATTTCTTCAATGGACAGCTTTGTCCTATGATTGAGTTCAGTATCCGCAGTTAGTTCTTTTTTAACTGCTTCTAAGGCCATATTGACTGGTATATTAGTATAAAGACTGGTTATATCAAAACTAACCATTGTTTCATCATTATCTAGTTGTATGTCATTTAGTTTATTTTTCATTTCATATGAATTAGTTAGTCTAGAATTTGAACGATTTCTAATGGGACATAATATTAGAGCTAAATGTTTTGATAATTCATATGTAGGGGTATTTCTAAAATCTACTATTGGTCTTATGGGATAACCTGGCTTATGTATTTTAATAGTACCATACATCCTACTAGCATTATTAGTTTTAGGCATTAAATTAAACCATTTTGACTCACCCAGTGACGGCTTCATTCTGCGTACTAATTCCGCTGTGGATTTTTTAACCTTATTCATTATTGTGTCTACGGGCTTCTTAATTTCCTCATATGGACCCATTTCAATATGTTCATTGACTTTCTTGATGTAGTCAGATTTATCCAAAACTACGGTGGCGTTTCCTTTGTCAGCTTTTGCGATGACAATATTTTTATCCTGTTTTAGATTAATTAAAGCTTCTCTTTCCGACTTTGTCAAGTTTGATTTTGCCTTCTTTTGATTTTTTAGGGTTAATGCACATTGTGCTCGAACCTCTTCTGCTGTTGTTTTATCTATTGAACCTAGTGCTACTTCTATGTTAGGAATGACATCCTCTGGTTTTAATTTATTAACTGTTACGTTGAAATTTAGTCCTTTCTCCAGTACTTTTATCTCACTGGAGCTTAGTTCCCTTGATGAGAGGTTGATCACCCACTTTGTTTTGTCGATCGAGGATGAAGCATTGACATCAATTTCATTTGCTGTGTTCTTTTCTTCAATAAGTTTGTTGAATTTTTTGATTTGTGTGTTTTTTTGATTTTCTCAATGCAGATTCTCTAGCTTTTTTGGATGTTTTGTAAAATAAAACGAATAGAAGAAGGTAAACTTCCCACTAGTGTGTATAGAAAACCAACGCATTCTAATAGATATTTAGATTTTAATTCGTCGCATCCGTTAACTGTTAAGGCAGGCTTAGTTAAGTGTCTAACAAACCGAGCCATAGCATTAAGTAGCACAAAAAAAGGCCTAAACGACGAGATAAAACAGATAGAAGAAGCGTTGGTGTTGAATAATTATCCTTTAAAATTCATTAGGAAGATAACTAAAGGCCAAAAACAAAATAAAAATAAAAATAATTGTGGAACTAGTAATGATAACATAAATAAGAAAGAATATAAGTCATCCACGCTTATACCATATAAGGAGGGGACATCTGAGACCCTACGTAGGATTCTGAATAAAGCAGGAATTAGAGTGGCATTTAAACCTACAAACTCACTCAGGGACAAGCTCTGTAGGTTAAAGGACCCAGTGGACCCAATTAGACAAAATAATATAATTTACAAAATACCCTGCAATGACTGTGAGGTCAACTACATAGGTCAAACTAGTAGGTCAGGGGTAGTCAGATTGTCAGAACATAAGAATTTAGCTAAGGTAAGAATGGTTGACCCAGAGAAGATAAGTAATTTAGAAAAAAGCTCGGCAATTGCAATGCATGCATTAACACACAACCACACAATAGGGTGGGAGAGGGTTAAAATTCTAAAAAGTAATCTAGGTAGGTGGAGAGAGAGGTTGGATACTGAATCTTTGTTCATCGAATCTACACCCAACACATGCAATAGGAATGAATCATCACTCATCCCTGAAATATGGAAAATAATACTACCAATCAAATCAAGTGAAAATCAAGTGAAAAACAATGGAACTGTATAAATGAATTTAGGAAGTCGTGTGATTAACTTGATGTGATTATGAGCAATAAATTGTGCTCGAAACGTCATCAGTAAATATTACTGTATAACACTGTGAGACTCTATCAAAATAAAATTTACCCATAATGGAATTACACTCTACCACAGTGCCCAAGTTTTATTCTTATATCTTTAACTTTAAGTCTTGTTTTTTCAGTAGCGTCACTATTGCTGTTACGAGATGGGGTTTCTCACCTTACCTAATCTTTCCTCTTCCGGGCTTACTATCGACTATTTACCTGGACAGGAATTGGGAGAGCGGCAGTCGGGAATCAAACTCCGTACTACGTGCGTGGTGGGCGAGTATTCTATCATTAAACCATAGACGGACAGTAGTAGCATTTAGGTTGATAATCATTCTTGAAGTTATCATAATAGAATAAAATATTGACTGACTATCCATTATAACTCTTTGCTTTTAGATCAGTCTTTGAATGAATTATTTTAGTGATTTATTTTGACTTTATACATCCTCGTCTTTTTATTCATCACTTATTATTATAGATGGAATTAAACGTCTTGCTAATGTTCTTGAAGAATTGAAATTTGCACGTAGTGTTTGGATGTTACAAGGTAAGCTGTTTAAGAATCCCTTTATATTATTTTTTATGTATTGCATTTTCTAGTAAGTATGAGAATGTGGGTCACGGTGTTGTACTGCTACTATCTTCTGGATTAGATTTCATTTGAAAGGCATGAATAACAATTTTCTGAGATAATCAATTTTTGTAATCTTGTCGTATGAACGGTATTTTATTGTATATGTAAATGATTGTCCATCATTTTACAATGGGCTTCCAGTGAATTAACCAGCTTTATTGATTTGGTGGTAGCTAAAGAAATCTCGTCTTAGATATGAAAAGTTCGTTTGGCTTTTGCTAAATTTCACTAATTCCTTTTTCGCCAAGATGATATCTACTTGCCTGATAAGTGTCCAGTGTACATTACGCAGAGACTTTTTATCCTACTATATTACCACTAAACATAAACATTTAAAGTAGGCGGAATTTGCTTCAAGTAAACTGATCACCGTTGCTTTCATGGTAGCACTGGCGATTAGTGAAACCATTGTGTGAACAATCTAGAAGGTAGACACAGAGTCCAAAGTTAAATGTGTAAAGGCGTCGGTAGAATTATTATTATTATTGTTTCCTTTAATTCCTAGAGGAACATAGGGCTTCAGCCATGCGTCTCCATTGCGTTCGGTTCTCTGCTAGAGTCTTCACCTGGCTCCAAGTCTGCCCACACGTTTTCATCTCCTCTTCACATGACTTCCTCTAAGTCACCCTTACAGTGACGACCAACTCCCGCTTCCCTTTCGGGTTCCACTCGAGCGATGGCTTGTCCAGTGATGTCACTTGATGGTTTCTTTAGAGTATGGCCAATCCATCTCCATTTCTTCCTGCCTATTTGTTTCACAATCGGTTCCTGCTGTGTTGGTTCGCTCCCAGAGATCCCACCCTGTTGCTGATCTTTTCTGGCTGGCCATCTGATGTTGAGTATTGAGCGAAGACAACTGTTAATGAAGGTCTGTAGTTTGTTTGACATGCTCTTTATGACGCGCAGTGCAAGTCTCTGATCCGTATAGTAGCACTGACTTCACATTGGAGTTGAAAATTCGGATGTTAATTTTCATGCTGAGTGCTGTTGACCTCCACACAGACTTGAGAGTAGTGAAAGCTTGTCTTGCTTTTCCGATTCTTGCTTTGATATCCTCGTCAGTTCCGTTCGCCTGTAGTTGAAACGATGCTTCCCAGGTAGGTAAAAGAGGTTGTTTCTTTCAGGTTGCTACCATTTATGCTGATTGTTGTCTGCTGTTGTTCTTGTCCAGGAATCTTCAATACCTCTGTTTTCTCTATGTTCACCTGAAGTCCTATCTTCTCTGAATGGTTCTTCTGCCAACTTGTTGCTTTTCGCTTGCATATCTTCCAGTTTGTGGGAAATCAAACATATATCATCGGCGAAGTGGTAGAATTATAAGCCTCTATTATGTATAATAGTTGGAGCAAGTTTTACATATACCTAATAACCGTCTACCCTTAATACGCGAATACAGGTCATAATTTCTAACTTAACGAATATACATTTTTCTTCACAAATGGTTAAAGTCGGTGGTTTTCAGTTAACAAGTTGAGATAAAGAACATAGTGGTAACTGGTGCAGAATTGTTCACCAGTCAAACTACATACAAAACCAATAAAATATAACAATATTACTTTGGAATATAGATGTGCACATACTATTCGTGTTCTACTTCCTGTTGGGTTTCTCTTCAGCTTCTATATTGATAACCGTCTCCTCCATTTCTCGTATCTGTATCTTTACCAGTTGTTCCTCTAGTCAAGACGTTTATGGAAGAAGTTACACTACTTACAAACTCCTGTCAGTAACCCTAATATCATATTAGTAATAACCCTGCTTTATTATTAAGCAACGAATAGCTGTATATATTACTGGGTATTTATGATCAGTTTTCAATCATTCAGTGTTTGTTCTACTGCTGGTTTGTTTTCAGATACAGCTGATACACTTGCAGACAAGCAGTCCCTTCTTATTACAATTCACACTAACATCTTTTTTCCTGTTTGCTTTTCCCTCCTTTATACAGATCCTGTGGCAGAAAGTCTTTTATCAAAAGAACTGAAAATTATTACAAATGATCTGATAGATAAATATAATGAAGTGGCATCAACAGCTATGTAAGCAATTCGAGTGTTTCACTTTGTTTATATATATATATCTGGCGTAGACGTGATATCCGGCTGGCTATTGACCAAAGGGCGTGTGTACTGCTCAGCAGTTCTCTCTGTCCTCCTTTATGGCTATGAGACAGCCATTGAAAGTGGAAGAAATGAAAATGCCGTCTAGTTGTCTTTGATCATAGGTGCCTGCGTTCCATCTCCCGTGTTAGGTGGTATAGTAGGGTGAGCAGTATTAAGGTTAGGCTTTTGTCGAGTGCTAGGTAGGTGAGACGGGAAATACATTGACGAGGTTGTAAAGTAACATCGATTGAGATAGTTAGGTCATGTGTTACGCATGCCTAGCCGTCCATCTCCTTCCTCGACAGGCAATGTTAGCTGACTGGCATAGGATCAGGTTGGAAAAGAGCCAGTGGTGGTCAAATCAAAACATGGCTTTATCAGTCAGTGAAGCCCACAACAGTTAGTTTAAGCCAACCAACCACGTCGGGAGGTGTAGACTTCCTGACTGATTGGGATCCTCGGGATGGTAAAAACTAGTGGCTGGAGATAATTGGTGATATGGCTGAAAATCGTTCTCAGTGACGGCGCAGATGTACTCACTCTTTGTGATCTGTCATATCCAATAAAGCTCTATTTTTTCCACATTACTACTCTTTTTGCCTTACACTTCTGTTTATTATCTTTCTTTTGAATCTCTCTTTACTCTCTTCTCTTGCTTTGTGTTCTACAAGGAGGGAGTGCGGCGTCTCTAACTGCTGCACATCTGTGCAAGGTTCTACGTTGAAACCAGGCTCATATATATAATAGTCATTTATCGGGAGAAAATTTTGTACAGTCCAGAAAAAAAACCTTTTCGACGAAATTTTTATGCAGTCAACCTTTGTTTGTCATTATCTAGTAGGCGAATGATTCCAACTCAAACTAAGGATCAGTCAGTTAGCTTTACCAATGCATTTGTGTCTATCAGTTCAACTGGTCATTTGGAAACAGTTAAATTGAGTGTACTAGCGTAGAATGTGTTACAAAAAATCTCCCATCATGGTTAGGTAAAGGTTAGGAAACAATCTCGCATAGCCCTATTTTTCCTACCTAGTTGATAGAAGTGACTTAGTAAAGCAAAACAAAAGCATTCTCTGTGATCCATCGCTTCCTGTCCAATCTTTGTATTCATAGTCGCCTACTGCATATAGATGAGACCATTAGCATTCGAACTAATAACCGTAAAGTTAATATTCAGAAGACGTTTGTACAGTCAGTATCTCTACTCTGAATACTGAAGACCTAAGTAACTAATTATACAATCAACACTCTTTCAAACATTTTAAAATCTTTTTGTCATCTTTTTGTCAACTCTTCCTTAGTCTGATTGCATCTTCATTAAAAGTCGGTTTCAACTTGGTATTGTGTAATCTTGTTATGTGTTTTTTCAACTTTTATCTACTATGTCGATTTGAACATTTGTTTCTATAACCACATCGTTTTCACTGTTCGCCTTGTCAAAAATCACTCGACTGTTTGCTGTTATTATTACTACAATTATTACCTCTCCGTTGTCTTTACGTCTGTGAGACATGCACAATCTTATCTTTGAACTGATAAATCACCATGATTAGTTTGTATGTATATCAGTAGTATGTGTATACTTTCATTTCATCTGTTTTTGATTTTCAGGAAATCTGTAACCGGTGTAGAAATATGGAGTTCAAATCGTCTTATTGCATTAAAAGTTGGCTTTCCAACTATTAACTGGAATTGTCGCCAGTTACAAACCTTATCTACAAGTATAAATCATTTGGATAAAATTAATACTGTTACACGTAAATATATATACATAAATTATTAATTATTAGTACATTATAATTATGTTGTAACCTTCCCTTCCCCTTTATAAATTCGTATAACGATTGACGGTATGTAGCACGTTTTTGAATTAGTTGTGTTCTCTGAGCTGGTTGATTTAATTGCGAAGCTTTCGTCGTCATCCTAGACAACATCTTCAGCGCAGGTTTTAGTATCGACAATACAAAAGCGTATCCCGCTCGTAAGATCTTAAAATAATAGAGAAGATTTGTCTAGAGGGACGACGAAAGCTTCGCAATTAAATCAACCAGCTCAGAGAACATAACTAATTTAAAATCATCCACATAGCTACAAATCGTCTCTATTATTTCAATATGGCACGTTGTTAAGCTGCCCAAAGATACGTTTATGTGTGATCTGGACACATTTGAATATATTTGAGTAGCCTAATAACACTCCTTAAGCTTATCAGTTAATTCTGCGAGAATATCAGTTGATATTTATCCCAAAAGGGGAAAAGAACAAGTCTGTAGATTGTGATGGAAAGAGATTATGCGATGAATACTTCAGTGGTATCCATTATGATTTTATTATTATTAAAACACAAACTTTGTATATTATGGGCACCAGAAGATACGCCACACAAATTGTTGCCTCATGGTTTGTGCGAGGGCTTGGATACTACCCGCACGCTCAGATTGAAGCAGGTGGTTGTCCTAAGAGGTCATCCTCCTGCGTCTTTGACTTGACTTCTGATTCATAAGGCAGTGGAGTAAAACGTCAGGAGTTGCGTCCCCATGATTGCCAGTGACTAAAGCAGGTTAATAATAATAATTTGCTTTATTCCAGAAACAGTACTAGAGGTACAGTGTGGAATTTTCAGCACATATCTACAATATTTACATCTAATTTTATCCAACGTTTTATCTTTCGGATTCTGGATTCCATGCACATTATAAGTTTGAAATAGGAATTATCCAACTTGTCCATCAGTCCAATTGTAAGTGCCAGAATTCCTCATTCTCCCTTTCGCTTTTAGTAAGGAACAGTAAATAAGTTTTATCTGGAAGGAACTATAAACGCGTGGCCGCATGAGAGTTTCTTTTGTTTTGAGAAAGACCGAAGTCTACTCCACTCTCAGCCGTACCAGATTGTTTATGGGAAGGGGGTAGTATTCATTACTTAGTATAGTACTTCTTCAGGCCTTAGTGCTTCAGCCATTGTGATGACTTTATCAACCTAGCAATGTGAATGAAGATATCGAACAATATTTACCTAATACCATTCATACCCGATTGATATATACACCACATCGTAAGTATAGTTCATTAAGCCTAATATATCAACAATGAATCGCATGTATAATGCAAAAGAAAAATATTACGATAATAAAGGACAATCCAAACTCCATTAGATCAAAACTTGAGTTCTTAACTGTGACCAACTGATAAACTACAGCTTCAGTGATTAAAAGTCACATGGATTCATTCGATAATGCATATGTAGAAAAAAATAGTACTGTAGGGTTAAGATTACCTGCTTACTAATCTGAGTTCTTATCTTGACATCAAATAATAAGTAAGAAAATTGAGTAAAAAAGATAAGGTGTTGTGATCAGTAAACTAATGATGCATGAGTACATTTTCATCAAAACTGAAACATATTTTGGGTTATATCACATAATGTGTATGGTTATTAGTTTCTGGTTATGCATGCACTCCAACCAACTAACTGTATTCCATTACATAGTTCATATGTGAACTGATTTTTGGTATGGTTGTGTTCTACAAGCTGGATAATTTAATTGCTAAAGCTTTCATTGTCCTTCTTGCCAACGCCTTCAATACTAACTTCATTATGAATGAAGTGAGCTTCAAGAATTCTCTATAGATGAAATATTTGTGTTTCTTAGTGAATATGGCTGTGTGAATGGTTTTTCCCCTAGATTTCCTCATGATTCAATAGTCAATGATTTCATGGATTAATTAATGAACAATCCTTGTTTTCTTCCAAAATAATCACACATGTGTGAATATGAGTACATCGAGGCAGACGATGATGACGGTTGAAAAATATATTCCCAGATTAATCTGTCTCTTACCTAAAACTCCGCGCGTAACTTTTGAATTGCTTAGATGGCGGTTACAACAAAAGGAAAAGTCATAAAATACTTGTATCCTTATCAGATCCCCTACAGACATTAGCCATTCACGCACAGTCACCTGTGAAATTATTCATTATTATTACTTAATCCTTTACGTCCCGAGTGGAACATAGGGCTTCAAGCTAGAAATCTAAGAATAAAACCTGTGCACTGTGGTAGAGTATAATTCCATTATGGATAAAATTTATTTTGACAAAGTCTCACAGTGTTATACAGTAATATTTTCTGATGACAATTTATTGCTCACAATCATATCAAGGTACTCACACAACTTTCTAACTTCATTTATATAATTCCATTATTTTTCATCGCTTGATCTGATTGCTAGTAGTATTTTCCATATTTCCAGTATGAGTGATGAGTCATTCCTATTGCACGATGAACAAGGATTCAGTAATCAACTTCTCTCTCCACCTACATAGATTACTTTTTAGAATTTTAACCCTCTCCCACCCTATTGTGTGGTTGTGTGTTGATGCATGCAGTGCGATTGTTGAGCTTTTTTCTAAATTACTTATCTTCTCTGGGTCAACCGTTCTTACCTTGGCTAAATTCTTATGTTCCGACAATGACTACCCCTGACCTACTAGTTTGACCTATGTAGTTGACCTAACTCACAGTCATTGCAAGTTATTTTGTAAATTATGTTATTTTGTCTAATTGGGTCAACTGAGTCCTTTAATCTACAGAGCTTGTCTCTGAGTGAGTTTGTAGGTTTAAACGCCACTCTAATTCCTGCTTCATTAAGAATTTTGCTCAGGGTCTCATATATAACTGTATAACACTTCAAGCTAGAGCTTCGAAGTCCCGGTAGAAGTGGTTTTCATTTTTATGGGGTAGGGCTGCTAGCCTTACGCCCAACCCTTCCTCATTACCGGAATATCTGCCAACTTTAACGAGGCGTCGACCGAGGTTCGATCCCCGGACCACATGCGTGGTTGGTGAGCGTTCTACGGCTGATTCGCCTACGCACATTCTGTGAAGTAGATTTGTTATTTATGCAAAAACTGTGTGTGTGTTGTTTGCAAAATAAGTTATACAATTTTATGGAAGCCAATCGAACATTTATTATCCATGTCTTGGTTTCTTCGGACACCATCGGCTGCTACGAATGATTCAACTTACTATGAAGATAGAAAAGCTATGATGCGTAGAAAACCTTTATTTGTAGAAATTGTATTACATTGACATCTATGAGTTGCTTTTTTTAAATAATGATACATTGATTCACCCTTGAGTAACATGTGCGTGTAACAATTTTACACGTCTAATTAATCTCCAACTTTTATTGTTAACTCTGAGATTATTTCCATTTATATATATATACCAGCAAGCTTGCTAACGCTCTCGCTTCGACTGTATATATACTAAAATTGTAACCATAAAGAGAAGATTAGGGTGGCCCCTGTGCAAGGACCATATGCAAAATTGTGAAGCGTTCCATATTTTTGAAGTGCGTCGGTGGTTCATTGGCAGAATGCTCTCCAACCTCGCGCTCGGTTCGGAGTTCGATTTCTTGCTGACTTACTTCTCAACCTTGTCTAACCAGTAGTAAGCCCTGTAAAGAGGAAAGGTTGGGCTTGAGGCTAGTAAGAATAACACCACTGCTACTGAAACCTCAGAGCTTGAAGCTCTATGTTCCACTTGGAATGCAAAAAAAAAAATAAAATAAATAGTAGTAATAATCATCTTGCTGACACTTTCTTCATCCCTTGCATTCCACTACTCAATTATGTGCGTAATGTTAATGACCTCCATCGGCATGCCAACTGACTACAGTGTGTCACTCTGTTTTGTGTATTGATCATATTAAGGTTGGCTTAGGTTGTATGCAGTTAACAAATAAAATACACTATTCTGTTACAAGTTAGATCACCAAATGACATTCTTTAGAGGACCATTGGAAATATCAGAGAGTACTGAACATCTCTTTGATCCTTATTGGAGACTCTTCACCAGCACGCACCCATGAATGCCCACTGGGAATCTAACCCAGTACTTTCAGGTTAAAAGGCTAACCACTTGACCATTCAGTTACTAGACTAGAATTCATTGGCCCATGAATTCGAATTATTAACAATTTGCGATATGTTGTTGTATTATCCTGCTCAATTTCTTGTTCTTGCTTTGTTCACATTAAATTCTGCTTAACATCAGTTTTTATTTTATTCTTCTTCTTCTTGTGACTATTATTACTCAGCATCATTAGAGTATAAAGATAGTACTTCGTCTACTAATGTATGCATGGATATGCCAATACTGTCAGATGGATATCATGTGTCAGATAAAGCAATGAAAGAAGTAAGTTTTTTCTATATATATATATATATATATATATGTGTGTGTGTTTTAATTATCTAATATTAGTTCATCAAAGTAGAATTTTAGTAGAAGAAAAAGTTCAGTTAGCAGTGCTGTCGAATGACATATTATCATGTGAAGATAAAAGTTTAATAAATATTAATGTTATGTTGTTGCTTGAGCCGGATGGTTTGACTGTGAAGCTTTGATTATCTTCCTAGGCAACATCTGCAGCGCTTAACACCTACACCAATATCATCCACTTAAACTACAAATCTTCTCCATCATTTCTAGTCCGATAAATATTATTCAGCAAAGTATTATGAGCTGTTTCTTTTGTGAAACTTTTTTCTCTTCAAACAAATAACTGAAATAGATAGTGTCATAATCGACAGGACACGAAGCAATAGCAGTACAGGAGTAATAAACGTCCGTACTGTAAGATGATATACAAATGAAGAGAATCGTAATAGTCAGGGGATTATATACGTTACTTAACAAATTCTTGTATTTCCATAGAGTTGGAAATAAGCTGAAACTATTGTGTTTGGTCTAATGATACTTACTACCTACATACCTAAAGCTCAGCTAGGATTCGAACTCGTGACCCACTGGTGGGAATTCGAGCGCCTAGACGGATAAGCTTTAGCTCCGCCAGTCAAGAAATTATTTAATATGAAGAGAAGGGAAAAAAGTACATTATATATATTTGGGGTTTATCATATTTTAGGGCGATCCAGCGATTATGTTTTCTAAAAGTCTATTTTAGTGATTGATTGCTTCAACTGACCGCGTAAGGTCGGTAAAGCCAGTAAAATACAACATTGAACAATACAAGCAGTAAATACTAATTGTATATTCGTGACTTAGGTTTTAAGTATACCAAAATTTGTATAAAACATGAGATCAATTCAAAGGCATACAATGTATCGAAAGTCTCCAATGTAAATATTTTAAAAACACAACATATTGAGCAAAGAAATACTTACCTTTCAGTGTGCTCTTCGTCAATGGCTCCATACTTTTATTACAATACGTATTTACCAGTAGATTTGTTATGAATTTGTTAATATCAACATTTTAAAGAGGTGATTTCTTAATATCATCCTGGACATGGCTAGCTAAGGGACGGTCAAAGTAACATGATGCCATATTATACTATTGGTTGATTGATATGAGTAGTCGGATACGAACTCTCACGTCACTAGCAGTGTTTGCCAGCCAGACTGAAGTGATTTAAACACTAAACGGCCGCTTCACTCGTTTGGGGCCAGGCTCATCAGCGGTTTACCCGATTCAAACCACTTAAATTTTGGCTAGCTACTTGGGCGAACTGCTAATATACTGTATTGAATTCCTGATTTGCAATTTACTCATTTTGAGGTAAAATTTCACCAGAGAGTTTCCTAAGGAGACCTAAAATTATTCAAATGACACCATGTGATCTTCTTGACGCTATAAATGACAATCAAGAAAGTGAGCATAATTGCATGCTGTCATTTGTACATATATTGTTTTGATCGATGGTACCTTAACCATTAACGAATTTCTAAATAAGAGACAAATAAATATTTCTTCGATTATTTTATTTTCTAAGAAATATTCATTTGATTGGTTGGAGGATTTCATCATGAGCTGACTGTCGGTCGGTCGGTTTTCGACATAGAACTTTGCACATATGTGCAGCAGTTCAAGTCGCCACACTCCACATAGCACACAAAGCAAGAGAAGAAGTAGAACATAATATAGATTTAATCACAAGAGTGGATGCATCTGCGCCATTGAGAACGACTTTGAGCCATATCATCAATTGTTTCCAACCATTGGTTTTTACTGTCCCGAGGACCCCAACCAGTCAGGAAGTCTACACCTTCCTACGTGGCTTAGACTAGTAGATTTCATTGACTGCCTATATTAACATTATCCATCGAGGAAGGCGATGATTAGGCATACGTACACATGTCTAACCATCTAGTGATGTATTGACATCAGTTAGAGAACCATTGGAAAACCTGCGAGTACTGGACAGCTGCTTCATCCTAGTTTGGGACTCTTTATCAGTACGCATCCACCAACGGGGTTCGAACCCAGGACCTTCTGGTTACAAGGCGAGCTCGTAAACCATTGAGCCACTGGGACCCGATCCAATGGCTAGCCTATGAATTCTAACTTCTGCCAATTCATGACATAGCGCAACCACTTCGCAATGTCTTCTTCGATGAGTTACTGCTTCACCTTCAAACTGCTGTACCCTACTGGTCACGACTTCCAACTAGAACCCCAGGTTAACTGTCTGAATAGGGCCAGTCGCTAGTGAGCATCAGATTAACTGTCAATTACTGGGATTATTGTTTCATTGGTTGGAGGATTTCATCATGAGCGTACTGTTGAAGAGCCCCAAACTAAGACGAAGCAGCCGTCCAGTACTCCCAGGTTTTCCAACGGTTCTCTAACTGATGTCAGCTCATGATGAAATCCTCCAACCAATCAAACCATAATCCCTACAAAACCAATACTTGACAAAATATTCATTTATTCTCAGAATAAAGCTAGAAAGGGAGTCTTTCCTTTCTATCATAATAAATTTCAAACTATTCTACTGCAAGTTTTATGTTTTACTCCCTTGAGAATAATTAAATAATTTAAATTGAATATTGAAATGCATTGAAAAATGGTTATTCTTTATTTTGTTTCATAATTTGTTGAAAATGGATTTTTTTCCACTCCAGAAACTGAGGATTATTTTTTATGACTAAAGGATATTAAATAATAATTCTTTTCTTTTTACCCTTAACTGATAAACTCATAGTCTAATATATTTTGAGATGTTCGATCATTAATTTCACTTTTACCAGTCTGCCTTAGACAACTGAATATTATTTAGAATATACGGAGCGGTTCAGTGGCTGGCAGAATGTTCACACCAATTACTTATGTAGTCCGGGTTCGAGTCCCAACTAACACACTACTGGTGCTTACCTAGTTAATTAACTTAAATGTAGCACTAAAGTGAACATCGGATTACAAAAGTAAATGGTCAGGACAGTAACCATCAGTGACATATACACCGAATTTTATTCAGTTTGATCCTAAACTTCATATGGATTAATGGTAATATCAAAACATGGAGAGAAAATGCACTAGTATGGTGAGAGGCTGTCTGCTAGCCCAAATTGATAGACAATAATTTACGTTAATGTGTACGTCCCCAATGTTGGTCGTGAGAAACATAAGAACGAAGACTGACTCAACAACGAATCACAGCAGACTTTGCGTAGGCGGATACAATGTGCAGATAGATGATCTGAACTTCAATAAACAGCCACAAAGAGATGAAAGATTAACTTTCAGCGAGAAACCACCAATCAGAAGACTGTGTTTGTTTGCTTACAATAATCTATAATAATGTACATGAAAATCTATAAATACGTGTTGATTTCGTAAATAAACAATCTGTTGCCTGGCCCTTGTCTTTTGTTATTACACTAGAAGGTCATGTGCATGTGCTAGTATTCAGGTGAATCACCGAGGGTAAATTAAGGGAATTATATAATCAGGGAATTGGGGGCCTTCATGACCGAGTGGATAATAGCTTGATGTTTGAAACGATAGCTATCGGGTTCGAGTCTCAGGAAATCATGGGAATGTATACACATCCAGATGACGAGTCCTAAGTAAGAGGAAGTACGCATCCTGGATTCCATTTCTAGGCATCATTAATCGAAATAACTTCACGTTAATCCTTAGGCATCGTCAAAGCCTCCGTACTAGCAGCCGATATTTTCAACATAGACGGATTATTTCTGTCCAACATAATCAACCAACAAAATATATGCAAATTAATCTAAAAGCAGTGGATATTGGGAATTTACACCTACAGGATGGATGTCATATCCAAAATACAGAATTTATGAATTTATAGATCCCACAGTTGGCCAGGGTAGCAATACTGGTTGGATCTGTTCGTTTCGTATACAAAGTGCTGGCTGTTTTAGTCGAATTTTTACTGTTTGGAGTCGTTGATACCTAGTGACTTTAGACAATTTATTCGTTACACGATGGATAATTTATCCTTGAAAGTTAAGCGTTTTTCTTTCTTTCCGTCTACATCCCCTCTTTTTGTATTTTGTACAATGATTTTATAGAATGTGCAAATCCTATTGAATCTGTACTGTAATAATCAAATGAAATTCTCTGATGGTACTTGTTGTCGTGGTTCAGAGCCTATAACACCGGTACAAGAAAAATGTTTTATATTTTATGCTATTTGGTAAGTCAAATATTTATTTAAATCTATAATAACAATAGGATTACATTAATTAAATATACTTTTAACGAGTTGGTCACGGAGTGATATCAGTTAGAGAACCATTGAAAACCAGGGAGTACTAGACAGCTGCTGTTCCATCCTAGTTTGGGAATCATTGGCAGTACGCACCCACTGGGATTCGAACCCAGGTAGTCAGGTCCAATTAGATGTCACGTGTGTGGATGGATGTCCCACCAACAACAATGGTTGGGGTCGCGCTAAATCACGAATTGGTAGAAGTTAGAACTCATGGGTTGACCATTGAATCGGGTCCCAGTGACTGAATGGTATACGAGCCAGCTTGCCTTGTAACCGGAAGGTCCTGGGTTCGAATCGCAGTGGATGCGTACTGCCGATGATTCCCAAACTAGGATGAAACAGCAGCTGTCCAGTACTCCCTGGTTTCTAGTGGTTTTCTAACTGATATCAGTCCGTGATCAACTCGTAAAAACATAACTAGCCCTTACAAATTAATATAGAAATATTATAATTATTATTATAGAAAATTAAATATACGTTTCTAATACTAAAATGGTGGTTACGTTAAATCATCGACGTACAGATTGAATAATAACTCACTCTCGCCAATCAACCTGCAAGACCTAAGTTTATTGATTGTTCACTATGGAGTATCCAGTGTCATGTTTCTTCAAGTGCTTTATATTGGTACCGATAGAATTTTATTCATCAAGTTTGCAACGTAGTCACTGATCTAGGTGACTCCCTACCGCTGTGTATTTCAAATTGGTCATTTCCATGTCACTGTCAGACACCCGACTCCTCCGGTTTCATTCAAGGATTTAGAGTATGATGTCATTTGATTGTCTCCACATCTTATGTCCTGTTCATCTTCACTCCCTTCTGCCTATTTCTCGGACAATAGGTACGTGTCTAGTTTGCTGTCAGAGTTCTTTGTTCACTAAGGTGGCCGGCAGAGGCTATAAAGTTACATAGATTGAGATGGCTAGGTCACGTGCTGCGCATGCCTAGCCATCGCCTCCCCCGACGGGCATTACTAGCTGATATAGGTGCAGGTTGGAAAAGAGTAAGTGGTGACCAAACAAAAACATGGCCTCATCAATCCATGAAATCCTTGACAGTTAAACTGAGTCAGGTAGGGAGATGCAGACTTCCGGGTTGGGGCCGGCCATCGGGACTCTAAGAATCAATGGCTGGAGACAATAGGTGACATGGCTCAAAATCGTTGTCAATGGCTTACGCAGATGTATTCAGTCTGTGTAATCTTTCATATTCCTTTCTACCATTACTCATTCTGTTTCACTCTTATACATGTCAAAACTCTATTGATTCTCTTCACTCATTTTCTTGTCTACCTTTGTGTGCTATTTGGAACTGGTGCAACTCGAACTGGTGCACTTCGGTGCCAAGTTCTATGTTGAATCCAGACAGACAGAAGGCGGCCTGCTTAAATCACTAGGTTACCAGAATCGCTTTCCACCAAAATGCCTTATTTCATTTGGATTTATCGTTGTTTTAATCGTCCTGTTACATAAAATGACCTATACTTGAATTTGTGCGCTGATTTAACTTGCTTCCAAGTAAACGCTGTGCAATTCTTCAACGAAATGAATATATGCTTCAGATTATTACTTTACATGTAAATCCTGTATGAAGAAAAAAGTATTTTGGAACTAAGTACGCTGGAAAGTTTTATACCATATGCTCGCATATTGTCTGAAATAAAGCTTTATTATTATCCGCTCTGGCCGGCTATGTTATTTTCAGTATCGACTGCAAGTAACTGTTAGGAATGCTTCTGGTGACGCACGCGCCAAGTCTATGAACCATATAAAAGCACTGACGTGACATTATTGTTAAAAATACTGATCTTTCTGTTAACTGTTTTAGATCTGCTCTCTGATTCCACAGTAATGAACATCTGTCTTATTCTCTCGATCCTGACTGGCTTTGACATCCTCATTCATGCTACTCCAGATGGGCAAATGGAAGAGACGACTTCCCTCAGATGTCTCACAAATCACAGATGTGATGTCTCACATCAGATATCTCATAAATCATATTTAAATGACATGTTACTACTCATATCGGTGTATACAGACAAACTGTGGACATATTCTGACCATTTAACAATCAGCGCATATATTCATCTTTTTGGTGTAGCTTTCTTTCTCTGAGGTGGATGGTTCGGTTCACCCTTACTTTATGTTCTTCTGTTATTGAGCTGACATGTACTGTTGTTACTTTATAGGATCGATTTTATCTGTCCTCACTGGTAAAACAAATTCTGAGGAAAATATTATTAAAGTGTTGTGTATTTTTTCCACACAAATTATCCCCTTTTTAAAGTGTTGGTTTATAGTGATTCGATTGACTTCACGGTAGATCTCTTCACTCACCGCCATTAATTAAAAAAAACCGTTGAAACTAAGGTTTCTAATCCATTCGATCAATGGTAAGATACTGTCTACATAATCTGATCGTTATGGATTCGATCCCTAGTGGAATCAAAGAGGTCGTACTTTTGAAAAGTCCCAAAGTAAGATTTGGCTTTCACTGGTTTTTTGTAATTCGTGTCAGTTCACGATGAAACTAAGCTTGTAACCCTACTTTTTTGGTAACTCTAAACTATAGCCACTCAAAAGAACGACCCAAGTAAACGGACGTAATTACCTCGATCATCCAATCAGATGAGCCTATCAAGAGGTAGGCTCATAGGAAGCCTGTAGATGTGGATGAGTAATGTCTTTACAGAGGCATGCAGCTGCTGTTGATGGATATGTGAGAGATGTCCATCCTGTCGTTATAGAAAAACTGTCCGAGAAGATATACCGTACCTCCTTTTTAGGTTCATGAGTACTGTGTAGAGCAGTGAATAAGTCAAGAAACAGCATGATACACAATCACAGTTATCTGGATGAATTTGTATACAGAAACAGGTTTGGATTATCACTGATAACTTCAATAAAGAATTACGAAGTTCTCTTGGAACACATACGAGAAGGTTACCCTGTATGGCGGCTATAAAAGAGTTTTTCTAATTTATGCCCAATTATTGCGAAATCTACGTCACTCAGCATCAACAACAAAGTTCGGATTTTCAATACAAACGTCGAATCAGTCAGTTCTTCTATACGGATCAGAAACTTGGCGGGTCATCAAGAATATTTTCAACAGCCTGTTGTAGACCTTTATCAACAACTACTGTCTTCGCTCTATACTGAAGATCAGATGGCCGGAAAGGATCACCAACAAGAAACTATGGGAAGAAACAAAACAAGAACCAATCGCTCAACAAGTATGCAGGAGAAAGTGAAGATGGATTGGAAACTCGCTGAGGAGGCCGCTGGGTGACATTGAGTGGAACCCGAAAGGGAAGCGGCAAGTGGGACGTCCAAGGGTGACATGGAGGAGATCGTGCGAAGAGGAATTGAAACAGTATGCATTAACATGGATGCAGGTGAAAAGTACAGCAGAAGACAGAAGCAAGTGGAGACATTTAGTTGAAGCCTTATGTTCCACTAGGAACCCAAGGGAACAATCATAATAATAATATACTGCGAGCCCATCAGATTGGTCGATCGAGGTCATTAAGTCCGTTTACTCCGGTCTTTTGTTTGGGTCTCTATAGTTTGCGGTTACCTGCTTTTTTCTGGTTGTTTTGCTAATTTATTAATATTACTGTTTTAATTTACTTTTTTTTTAGTGTTGAATGGTTTAGTGATGATAACATTCACTATAAGATTCTTATCAATAAATGTATTGTTTGCCTGTCTACTATTACATTTACTGTTTTTGTATTTTAAACCCCTCTTGTAGTTGATGTTTGGTTATTGTGTGTGTGTGTGTATGTATGTATGCCTTTATGTCGTACACAGAGCTTCATTGGACAACAGAAAACTGTCCCTTTCATTATTGTCAATAAATTCAGTTGTTGTTTCAGAGTTATAAAAATTATCAACTACGCATCCAATAGTACACTTTGGTTTTCTTTTAAAACAACAATAAAAAGCTTATCTATTGTCCTTTTTCATAGTTATTGTTTATTCTTTTCTGTTTGTTTATCTTGTTTCACTCATAATTGACTTGACCTTGAGGCTATGAAAACATTTGTTCAGTTTAATACTTAAATGGTTTTCTCTTCTTTTAGCTGTATTCAGATAAATATGAAAATTTTCAAGTATTGGTTTTTGTTGGGGATTTAGTTTGATTGGTTGGAGGATTTCATCATGATTTGCAATTAATAGTGTTCTCTGAGCTGGTTGGTTTAGTTGCGAAACTTTCGTCGTCCTTCTGGACAGCGTCATATGGCGCTGAAGATGTTGTCCGGAAGGACGACGAAAGCTTCACAACTAAACCAACCAGCTCAGAGAACACTATTAATTGCAAATCATCCACCTGAGCTACAAATCTATTCTATATGATTTCATCATGAGCTGACTTCAGTTAGAGAACCATTGGAAAGTCTGTTGCCCACTAGCGACTGATCCTATTCAGGCAGTGACCTGGGGTTCTAGTGGGAAGCTGTGACCAGTAGGGTACATCAGGTTGAAGGTGAGGTAATAACTCATCGAAGAAGACATTGCGAAGTGGTTGCGCTGTGTCATGAATCGGCAAAAGTTAGAATTCATGGGCTGGCCATTGTATCGGGTCCCGGTGGCTCAATGGTTTGCGTGCTCGTCTTGTAAGCAGAAGGTTCTCGGTTCGAGCCTCGGTGGGTGCGTACTAATGAGAAGTCCCAAACAGCTGTCCAGTACTCCCAGGTTTTCTAATAGTTCTCTAACTAATGTCAGTCAGCTCATGATGAAATATTCCAACCAATAAATATGATAAACATGCATTTAGTAACAGTATCTTCTTCATTTTGGTTGCTTTATTACAGACTGCTTAAAGTTGTCGATAATTTCGTGCATCTAGGTAGTCGTATGATTGCTGGAGCAGGTGTAACCGATGAAATCGTTAACTGTATAGGAAGAGCTAGGGTGGCATACGCCAAACTTGGCCACTTCTATTGCTGTTTTGACGTCAACCTGACTGTAAGGGTCATGTTTACAACACCTCGATGGACGAGGTCTTGCTCGACACCTGTCAAACCTGACCTGTCCAAGCTTGGGTTGTGCAACGACTCTATTGATTCCATCATCATCATCATCATCATCATCATCATCATCATCATTCCCTCCGCAGAATTGCTTGCATCCAGTAGCTTTATCATGTTAGTAATTCTGAGATCCAACAGCGTATGTTTGGAAATGATTGAGGTCATCTTTTATTGATTGTTATCATTTTAGAACATTAGCTCTGGTAGCTAGGACATATGCTAAGCATGTCATCCTAGCTGCCGCCAAACCACTAACTCTTTACTAGCTCTGGGAGTGGATGTAATAAGTGAAGAGACGTGGCGACGTGAGATGAAGGATATATCATCCAGGTTAGCATTCGTTGGTACATCATGACTCCCTGGTTTGGGTCCGCTAGATTACTCGAATTACTGGTCCCAGAACAAGAATCATAACCTATAACCAATAGCCATAATTTCCTCCTTTGTTCCCTTTCTAAAAGTAATGTGAATTAATGAATCATCCTTCGAATGATCTTGATAAGTATGCTTACCTGCTTTCTGGATGATCTCCCCTACTTCTTCCATCTCTACTTTATATTGTTGTTATATCATTTTTTGTGTGACTCACCTCTTCGTACTCATATTTTACCAACTTTAAGTTTTTAATAATAATTATAACAATAATTCTTACATCATATGGTATTGTAGATGTGGTTGATTGGCTTAAGCACCTAACTTACAGCCGATAGGTCTAGGATTCAAAAATCCCACTCCATCTACTTCAGCTTGGGCACCTGATTAGTAGTATCTTAGACAAAGAGTATGACTCTAAATCCTGGTACATGAAAAATCTGTTCCATGTAACTGAATGCAAACAAAGAAACAACATTCTTCTAGATTCTAGAGTTAATTTTTATAATAAAGAAGGTTTAAACTGTAGTTGTTGATTACTATTGTCAGTTAGTACAATGATAAATCTGAAGAAATGGCTTACTGGTTAAAGCTGTTGAGTGTTAACTAGTAGTTTCTGGCTTAGAGTCCTGTTTCGCCTTCTTTAGTTTGAGCAATTCGGTAATATCATTCACCCTCAAACAATTGTTGCTGTCCCATAGTCTGGAAACTGAATTCTTAAAAACTTTTGATTTACGGTAGTGTTAATAAACATTGACTAACTTACAAGCAGAAGTAACTTTTCTTTGTGAAGTATTCATTTGATCATAGGTGCCTGCGTTCTATCTCTCGTGTGAAGTGGTACAATAAGGTGAGCAATATTGAGGTTAGGCGTCGAGTGCTAGGTAAGGCGGGGATATCAGTCGACGAGACTGAGATGGTTAGGACATGTGTTACGCATGCCTAGTCATCACCTTCCTCGACGGGAAATGTTAGCTGACATAGGACCGGGCTGGAAAAGAGCTAGCGGCGGTCAAACGAAAACATGACACCAGTCAAGGGAATCTGCAACATTTAGTCTAGGCCATGTAGGAAGGTGTAGACTTCCTGGTTGGGGTCCTCGGGACAGTAAAAACCAATGGTTGGAAACGATTGGTGATACGGCTTAAAGTCGTTCTCAATGGCTGGCGCAGATGCATCCACTCCTTGTGACTTATGATTTCCAATGAAACTGTTTTGTTCTTCGTTATTACTATTCCTTTGTCTCCCACCTCTGTTTACTATCTATATTATGCATTTCTCCTACTTTCTTCTCTTGCATTGTGTGGTACATGGAGTGTGGCGACTCGAACTGCCGCACATATGTGCAAAGTTTTATGTCGAAAATAGACAGACAGACATTCATTTGTAAATTCACTTATAATATAACAGATTGTAATGTAAATAATTACAGTAACTTGATGTTTGTTCTCATTTGTCCAGTATCTGGCTAGGCTGTGCAGTCTTCTTTCTTGAGTCTTTCTGAACATTTTTCATTTTGAGATTATGCATTCATTGTACGATGGTGTTGTTGTCTTTTTATTACACGGAGTTTTTCCTTAACTCTCATCCGTACTCATTACGTTTACTGAATACAAATCAACTCTAGTAAGGCACAAATATATATAACCTTATAAAAAGTGAAGTAATAAAAAAGGAGTTATCCATCAAATGAAGTCAAGCGGAAGTGTAATAATCACTAAATCTGATAAAAGGGTGTATAATAATTATGAAGATGGATAATTAAATTATAAAAGAACTTACTAATCAGACAAATTTCAAAGAATTAGGTATAGAATCTAAAGTTATTGAAAAGGCATCTTACTTTAATGTCTACGTTTACAATGAACTGTGAACTCTCGTCTGCTGTTTCTTTTTTAGTTCAAGGAAAATACCCATCCAGACATGAATATAAGAACAACAAAGTTTAGTGAAGAGTCTCTTTGCGGCGAATTCATTCACTTAGCTGTACAATCGCATTTATATATAATTATTGTGTGTGTGTGTGTGTGTGTATGTGTACATTAGGATTGTCAAACAGAAATAAACATAAAAATTAGTTAGGTTTATTGTTTACGTCATCAAGATGTTTCTAAAATGTGATGAGTAATCAAAATTGTAACTAGAGGTTGACAAGGGTTGCGTAGTATGAAATAGGATGTTAATGGAGACACGTGTCCAAAAATAAATTATGTAATAGGTAGAAAGAGTAAATAAATGGTTGGTTGAGAAGATGTTACTAAGATGCCATAAAAAATTCAAAAAACAAAGAAGAAAACAAAACATAATTAACAAAGTCGTAGAACTTGGAATTATACCCAAGGTAGAATGAGTGGGTAGAGAAGTTTCTTCTGTGTGCATAAATCAGGGTTTTCTAACCGGGTTGCCGAGGCCTTCTATATTATTTATATTCTTATTATTCCCTTGCGTTCCGAGTGGAATATAAGACTTCAATAACACATCTCCACTTTGTCCGATCTTCTGCCATCTTCTTCAGCTGGGTCCCTGATTGACCAAACTCTCTCATCTCTTCCTCATACGATCTCCTCCATGTCACCCTTGCACCAACGACCCACTCGTCGCTTCCCATTAGGATTCCACTCGAGGGCCTGGCGTGCGATGTCGTCCTCAATGTATGCCCGATCCATCTCCACTTTCTCGCACATATTTGTTGAGCGATCGGCTCTTGGTTGGTTTGTTCCCATAATTTCTTGTTGCTTATTCTTTCTGCCTGCCATTTGATCTTCAGTATGGAGCGAAGGCAGCTGTTGATGAAAGTCTGCAACAGACTGTTGGAAATCCTTTTCGTGACACGCTGGCCAAGTTTCTGACCCGTATAGATGAGGCCTTCTACATTCTCCCAATCAAATTGGTGTCCGTAATTATCTGTATGCATTGATATGAAAAAGCACATATCATGCCTTTTAACAGCTAATTTATGTTCTCGGATTCTAAGGAGACGTCCACTTTGACCAGTGTAGTGCTTATCGCAGTTCATACAACTCTTTCTGTTGGATTTTTTGATCTGCAATATATTGAGTGAAGTGAATGTGTTGGCTTGTGTGCTGTGTCTATTTCAAACAGTCTTAATATATTCTAGCTGTTATTTTAGAAAAAAATTTTATTTATGGTAGAGTGAATTTTCTTGTGATCTTTGATGATGTTTTCTTGTTGGTGTTATGACTCACTCGAGTTTAAACACATCTTGATGGAATTGCGAGGTTATTCATTCTTTTTGAAGACGATTAGCAGATATTTTCCCTCCATTCTCTTCAACATTGAAGTGCTACAGTGTTTTTGAACCCTTTTAAACAATGTCTGCACACAGTTTTTTTTTGTGTGAGTTATTGGGTTATTGCTATTATAGGGATAAAGCACGACTTCTAGACTCCACTGCAAGTAACTACTGGTTAGAAATCAACGCAATACGTAGGTTAAACTGAACCTGATCAATTCTGTTAAGAAAATGACGAAGGGAAGTATAAACACATAATATGTTTCACATTATCTTACAAAAGCACTGTCATGTCTACTGCTAATGTAAATCTTTTTTCACTTTATTCTATTTCAGTGTATTAAGCACATTCTTGTGCTTCCTTTACAGTCAATTTTTCTCTCGTGGTAAGTCAGTGTATAACTCCTCTAACCAGTGTTTTGTTTTATTATCATAACTGAAAAACTACAATCGAAGGTGTATATAGATGAATTCCACTGTTATTATTATTATTGTTATTACTCCGTCGCTTTTTACGGCTTTGATATGAAGAGGCTAGGTGTCTTTGACTATATATGTCGGTGGTCTATCTCTCGTGTTAGGTGATGTTATGTGTAGGGTGTTAGTTATGGAGAGAAAGTCGTCAGATAGTGTTGTGAAGATACATCGATTGAAGACTTTAGGACATGCGTGTTATGCATGTCAAACCATCTTCTTCCTTGTCGAGCGGTGTCATGACGACAAAAGAGATTGTGCGAAATTTTTTATATATCCAAAGTTCATGGCTTTAAGCTATGTATTCCTGAAGCTTCCGCTATGTTGAGTAAGTGCACCCGCGTGACGTTTGAAAATTTTGTTCAACTTTGTAGACATTAGTAAACCATGAATCAGAAGGTTCTCTTCGTCAACTGATAATCGCGTTGGCGTGTTTTTAGTATAATGGTGAGAATTGTTTTTCTCCAGTTTAGTGTATCTACATCCTGTTCTATGTTCTGAAGCAATGATTTCGAAATACATCCGTCATTGACTGTATTATAGCTAATATAGATTCTGATATTTCAATGCTTTCGTGTTGAAAAAAATCAAACCTTCCTAATGCCTTCTTCAAAACTACCAGTAAACTGATGGCCATATTTCACTACACACGAGAAGGACACAACAGTATATGTGTAAAACTTATGCACTGTGGTATTAAGTAATTCCATATTAGTTTGTTTATTGGATGTATCACACAGTGAAACAGTATTATTTACTGGATGACGTTTCAAACAAAATTTATTGTTCATAATCATATCAATTATAATCACACAACTTCGAAACTTGAGTTTTATAGTTTTCTTTGTCCTCTCCTATTTGTCGTAGGGGTAGTAGAATTTTCCAGATATCTGGGACAGGTGATAGTAGTGATGGTGATAATTAATAATAATATTAATGACGACATGCATGTCAAATATGCGCAAAACAACACCAAAAATAAGGAATCTAAATCATCAGTAGTAATTCCATACAAAGAAGGAACCTAGGAAACCTTACGCAGAATTCTTAACAAGGCAGCAATAAAAGTGGCATTCAAATCCACAAACTAAATTAAGAACAAGCTTTGTTGGTTAAAGGATCCTGTGGAGCCTTTAAAACAAAACAATTTAGTTTATCTAATACCCTGCCTGAAATGATTGTCAGGTAAAATACATAGGTCAGAGTAGTAGAACAGGGGCAGTCAGACTAGCCGAGCATAAGAACCTAGCAAAATCTAGATTAGTTGACCCGAATAAGATAAGAAATCTAGAAAATAGTTCAGCTATAGCTCTACTGCAATTACACACAACCATACAATAGGATGGATGGGATAAGATGACAGTTTTAAAATCCAATGTAACAGGGTGGGGGAGGGAGATTGAGGATAGAAGCTTTGTTTGTCGAATCAACTACAAACATGTGTAATAGGAATCATTCAACACCTGTCCCAGATATCTGAAAAATTCTACTACTCCTACGACAAATAGGAGAGGACAAAGAAAACTATAAAACTCAAGTTTCGAAGTCTTGTAATGATAATTGATATGATTATGAACAATAAATTTTGTTCGAAACGTCATCCATTAAATAATACTGTTTGATTGTGTGATACATCCAATAAACAAACTAATATGGAAGGACACAATAGATTTTAGAACTTTAAGGTATTTCGAATAAAAAATTAACAGTGGAATAATGTATCGATCAGCAATGATCAAAATTTTGTCCTTTTTTTAAAACATTGAAAATATTCACCAATCTTTTTTTTCAGGTTTTCTCTGTCTCTCTCTCATACATTTGTGTGCATTGCAATTTCATTATATTTCTTCATTATACACTTTGATTTGTGCTTATCCGATGTGTGGCAACTTGGACTATGATGCATTTTTTGTGCAAAGGTCTACATTTGTTAAGCCAGTTAGCTATCACGTTGCATAAAGTACAAACCACTTGACTTAGAAAACCAGTCACTTGTATTTGAGTGCCATATTGATGTTATCGATTTATTGACAATATTTTTCTCTTTAAAATAGTTTTCGAAATTATTGATATAAGTATAAAACTTGGGCACTGTGGTAGAGTATAACTCCATTATGGATAAGATTTTATTTTGATAAATCACACAATATTGTATAGTAATGTTAACTGATGACGTTTCGAGCAGAAATTATTGCTCATAATCATATCAAGTCGACTAGTCTGGGACTATTCAGCAGCACGCACCCACCAAAGGGGTTCGAACCCAGGACCTCCGGTTACAAGGCGAACTCGTAGGCCATTAAGCCACTGAGACCCACACCAGTGGCGCATTTATTCCAACTTCTGCCAGTTGAAGATATAGCGTGACCATTACGAATGTAATCGGTGAGTATTTGTTCTCACACTCAGCCTACTGTACCCCACTGGTCACGAAATCCCACTAGAACCCAGGTAACTGCCTACCTAGTGAGCATCAAATAAATATTTAAGTGTTGGTTTGCAGGGATTTGATTAGTTTAAGAATGTTCCCTATTGGTGCAGAAACATAGTTTTCAATAATTATGTTATCAATTAAAGTCCTGTCTCATGTACTCACACTTGAGTAACTAAATTATATTATCCATCGTCATCACTTTATATGCATGACTCACTAATGTAGAATTCTGTATGTGGTTACTCAAGCTGTTATTTGATTGCTATCATCTAAATTAACTTGATAGTAAACTCCGACTTACTATTATTATTGTTCCCTTGGGTTTCAAGTGGAACACAGGTCTTCAACAACACATCTCCACTTTGTTCTGTTCTCTGTTGTCCTCTTTAGCTGGGCACACGATTAGCCATAATCTCTGATGTCCTTCTCTTACAGTCTCCTCCATATCACCCTCAGACGACCCACTCGTCGCTTCCCATTTGGATTCCATTCGAGCAATGGCCTGAATTGCACGCGATGTCATTCGACGGCCTCCTCAACATATGCCCAATCCATCTCCATTTTCTCCTACATATTTGTTGAACGACCGGCTCTTGTTTGGTTGGTTCTACTTCAGAGTTTCCTGTTACTTATTCTTTCTGACCTGCTATTTGATCTTCAGTATGGAGCCAGCGAAGGTAGCTGTTGATAAACGTCTGCAGTTGCGTGTTGGAAATCCTATTCATGACACGCTGGCCAAGTTTCTGACCCGTATAGAAGCATTAACTGACTTGACATTAGTGTTGAAAATCCGAATCTTGTTCTTTATGCTGGCTGAGTGAGTGCAGAAGATTTCTAAACTAGTTTCAGGTTGATGAAGGCGTATCTTCCCTTTCCGATTATGGCCAGCTTTGACATCCTCATCCGTTCTGGCTGCCTGTAGTTAAAACGATGCTTTCTAGATGAGTGAAGGTGGTAACCTCTGTTAAATCTCTCCAGTTGATGGTGATTGCTGCTGGTTGTTGTCGCTGTTGCCTGGTTGGTTATCTTCATCACTTCCGTCTTCTCTATGTTCACTTGGAGTCCTGTCTTCTCTGGCTGCTTCTTTAACCAGTTTGTTGCTTTTAGCCTGTAAGTCTTCGAGTTTGTGACATTATACATATATCATCTACGAAATCCAGATCTTCGACTTGTTGCTGATAAAATCTCAGCATGGATAAAAAGAAGGCTTATTTGATGACATTAGCCAACTTGCGTCATCTTTGACACAGGCATGATATCCAGTGATGAATAGTGTTAACTGATATATGACTGATATTAATCAAAAGTTCAATGTGGTCAGGTCAAAAGGTGACATCGATCCATGAAATCTATTTAGTCTTGGTTTAAGTCATGTATAGAGGGGTAGATTACCTGACTGGAGTCTTCAGGATGTTGAGAGTGAATGACTGAAGACTGTTGATGACATTGTTCAAAATTATACACAATGGTTCATCATTGAAATTCTGGAAATCTTGATCAAACTTCATCTGATTGTTTGCTGTCTCTCGTACATTGTAGTTATGTTGCACTTTTTCCTCCTACTTTTATCCGTTCATTCTCCGCTATGCTTTTTAGGCTCTTTTCGACACAAATACTTCAGTAACCTGACCAATAGCTGCTATATTGATATGGTGGCAAGGCTTGCATATCGCAACAACCCGACAAGCTACACTGGCTGAAATTAGTGTTCCTGCAGTTCCCGCACTGCCAGAAAGGTCTTTCGGATAGCGGTTAGACTAAAAGTAGTTACCGTCATAGTTTAAGTTGGGGGGTTGGAAAATGAAACCATACTGCTGGCAAATAGGGACTTAACAGTAGTTAGGTGTTTCTCTCAGATGACCAACATGCCGGGTATGCTGCCTCTCCGTTCTAGTGACGGTAGCGCGTTGGGGGTTGGATAAAAGGGTCCACCTCGAATATTGTTTATCCCGACTTACTTTGCAGCAGTCCGTAAGCAGTGATTGGATCCTAGTACGGATACAATTTCATAATAATAATAATTATTGTATCCTTTAATTCCTACAGGAACATAGGGCTTCAGCCGTGCGTCTCCATTGCGTTCTCTTCTCTGCTAGAGTCTTCACCTGGCTCCATGTCTGCCCACACGTTTTCATCTCCTCTTCACATGACCTCCTCCAAGTCACCCTTGCACTGACGACCAACTCGCCGCTTCCCAATCGGTAGGGTTCCACTCAAGGGCTTGTCTAGTGATGTCACTTGATGGTTTCCTAAGAGTATGGCGAATCCATCTCCATTTCTTCCTGCCTATTTGTTTCACAATCGGTTCCTGGTTGGTTCGCTCCCAGAGATCCCTGTTGCTGATCTTTTCTGGCCGGCCATCTGATCTTGAGTACTGAGCGAAGACAACTGGTAATGAAGGTCTGTAGTTTGTTTGAGATGCTCTTTATGACGCGCTGGCCAAGTCTCTGATCCGTATAGTAGCACTGACTGACTTCACATTGGAGTTGAAAATCCGGATCTTATTTTTGATGCTGAGTGTTGTTGACCTCCACACACGATTTCATAAAAACAACTTCAAATAGGTTGTGTGCTACTGACCTCAAGCAGTGGTTCCGTGAACTTTGAGGTCGTGCAACACTATTGCTCCTACTGTTTCAGGCATCCCAATAAGGAATCAATAAGAAGAATAAATCATTTTATTACTTAAAACTAATCAACATAATTATATAAGTACAGTTTCTTTTATATTTCTATAACTTAAATAGAAAAATTTTTCTTCTGTGGTTCTATTTCACTTATTATTATTATTATTTTCTTTTACTTTATTCTATTATGATTAGGTAAACCATGGATTCAATGGAAGAATTTTCGTAGAACAATCATATCAGTATTTTATAAAAGAACAAATGAAACAACACAAGCATATATTCCAATTGAAAATAATTCATCAAATGCTACTGGTTGTCATGACAATCATGGTGACAATGGTCATGACATTAGTAGTAATAATAATAATAATACTAACAATAACAGTGGCAACAATAGTAATAAAGATGTCGATAATGGTGACAATGATGATAGCAATGATAAGCATAAAGAGAGCACTGATTCCTTTTTTATTGAATTCTATGAATTAACTAGTGCTTTGTCCAAATTTGGTGCTATCATGGTATACTTTTTTATATGTGACAGGTAAGCGATAAATAGTCGTTATTCTGTAGATTATGTAATCCCACTTCCTTTTCTCCTTTTTGTTTCTCTGTTGTTTCTTTTTGGTTTTAATCGCTTTTGGAGTAGTGTGTGTGTGTATGGGAAAGGAAGTGCGTTAGATAAGCATTATGTTTTCTTTGGGTTGAAATAGTCATCAACACGCATATTTACTACAGGTAGAACGGATGAAGATGTCAAAGGCTTCACCAACCTGGAACTAGTTTGTAAATCTTCTGCACTGCACTCCGCAAAATAAAAAAAACAAGATTCGGATTTTCAACACAGGTGTAAAGTCAGTCACTTCTTCTATACGGGTCAGAAACTTGGCCAGCGTGTCACGCAAAGGATTTCCAACAGGCAACTGTCGACTTTTATCAACAGCTACTTTCGCTGGCTCCATACTGAAGATCAAATGGCAGGCCAGAAAGAATAAGTAACAAGAAACTCTGAAGTAGAACCAACTAAACAAGAGCTGGTCATTCAAGAAATATGTGGGAGAAAATGGGGATGGATTGGGCATATGTTGGAGAGGCCTTCGGATGACATCGCGCGCAATGCAGGTCGTCGCTCGAGTGGAATCCAAATAGGAAGCGACGAGTGGGTCGTTGGTGAGAGGGTGACTTGGAAGAGATGAGAGAGTTTTGGCAATCGTAGGCCCAGCTGAAGAGGACGACAGAAAATAGAAGAAAATGGAGATGTGTTGTTGAAGCCCTACGTTCCACTCGGAACCCAAAGGAATAATAATAATAATATGCATATTTAAATGGCTTACACTAGTTATGTTGTTTGACAGCACAATGCATGTTGTTAAGTCATTCAAACACATAGAATTGCGAGTGAACTAAAATTTGGATACGTCTACTCTAGTGTATTTCAATGGCATAGGAGCATGTTTTATACGGTGATACACGTCATGTCTAGTAAAGTGTAGAGTAATGTAAGAACAAAGATTCTGGTATTCAGAGGAAGGTAGTTTTAGAAGCTTAGATGAGGTTGTTTGAAATCGATTGCACTTATGTAAATGTATACCTTATCCCGAATATCTTTTACTTTTTTTCGCATCATGATGTTCTGTCACAGTCATTTTTATGTCTTCCTTATTTTATTATCACGGTCTTCTTGTCATTGTCGATTGATACTGTTCTGAATCCTGAAGTGTTTTGAAACTATAAAGAAAAATTGTAGCCTAAGTGAATTATTCTGATGTGACTTTGTTGTCTGAGTTAGTTGGTTTAATTGTGGAGCTATCATTGTCTATCTAGATAGCATCTTCAGCGGAAACTTCAATATGAAGATGCTTCTAGAGACAGACATTGAAAGCTTCTCAATTAAACCAATCAGCTAAGAGAACAAAATAACATCAAAATCATTTGCTTGAACTACAAGTTTTCGCTGTTTTTCTTCAAAACAGTTCGTCAAAAAATCTTGAACCGTTTATAAAATCAATTCAGATCCTATGTTTGTGATCTGACAATGATCATATCAAAATGACAGCCATTTATTCACTGACACGTTGCATCTTTTATGCCTCTGTTACATTTTTAATTTTACTTTTAGATATTCAGTACGTTTAATAGATGTGATACGCCTATTTATGCCTGCTTGCATGCATCCTAGTACTCGGTAGTATGTGCATGTTTATGAAATTAATTCACATTTGCCTTTGAGACTAATTTTAACGCGGATAAGTTGAATGCTCTCTGAATGTTTTCCTTATCGAATATATTCAAAACAAATTATTTGTTTGTTGATTCTTTACGTTCTGAGTAGAACATAAGGTTTCATGTTTTGTTTTTGTTTTGCTTTTGTTTTGCTTTCACCGGGTGAGGTTGCTTGTCTTAAACTCAATCTTCCCTCTTTTCTGAGCTTAATGCCGTCTAGGCGAGGTTAACAAGTGCATCCGGTTCGGAATTGAACCTAGACCTCTCGTATTGCTAGCGAGGATTTTACCAGTGAACCACCGATGCATCCTATTTAATCTACTAATTTTAATATTTGTTAACGCATCAATAAGAAGCGTGAACATTGGACTGCCAACTAACTATCTGAAGCAGCTTTTATTGAGATGCACACTCAATGTGCAGTTTAGCTTTAACGATATCATCTATAATCAAAAGGATTGGGACTTCATGGGGTCTCTATTAGGACCGTTCCTAGCAGATGTTTTCAAGGAAACCTCTAGTCTGCATATGTATAAACGATAAATTGACATTACCTTCACAATTTGTGGTGAAATTGTTCAACTGCTCAGCTTCTTAGAAAATTTAATGGTTCTCACTCATACATGCTTTTCACTATCGAAGAAGAGTCGAATTCCGCACTTCACTTCTTAGATGTGATGCTAGATAGAAGAGAAAATGGCACGTTAAAAAGTTCGATTTACCGAAAGCTAACATTTATAGGGTAGGATACTAACTTCAGCAGTTGGGTACCACTAGGCAAAAAAGAAAATCTTACCCCTTCTCTATGCTCCAGAATTCGGAAAATCTGCTCCATAGATACAGTCGAAATAGAACTAGAAAACCTTCACACAACTCGCTTAAGTAATGGATATCCTAAAAGGTTTATCGAAGGAAACATCAAGAAAAAAAACTTCCCTAGCCAAATCACAGTGTCAAAGAAGACACTGTTTATGAGTTTGGCATTCAAAGGTGACACTGTTGCTGAAGTCATTAAAAGTCGTTTATCTAAATGTGTTAAACGCTGTTTTTTGCAGCTGACTTACATTTAGTATTCACCAGCCGAAATATGATTCGACAATGCGTTAAGGATAAACTACCGCTTATGTCAACCTCTATGCGCTTATGCACATTCATATACTCGTGTGAAGTTGATTTCATTGGACGTTTTGTGCTCTCCGTAAATGCATAGCTGAATGCATAGCATAGAACGACGAAGTCTTCGACTTGCGAACACATCCTGGAGTCAGGTTATTCAGCCTCACGTGATTTATCCTTTACAGCTATCTGCAGGGCCAAAGCTAATCGCTCTGCAAGCTTACTTTTCTCAGCTATGCATAACCTGAGCTCTACCTATACATGGACAAAAACCTGTTTTCAAAAACGTTTTGTTAAACCCTTTTCTTTACTTTAGTCATAGTTATGTTCTTTTATTTATGTCTATTTTAACACTTGAATTCATTCCACTCCACTTCATCTTCGCCTTCTTTACTGTTATCATCATCGTATTCTTAATTATTTAGACAGCATCTGACCTACAATTTTAAAATCTTAATACCAATTCACTTATTTAATAATCTTTAAAAGTTTTGTAATTCATCCACTTCAACTCTACTCCTTTAATACATCATTTTAATTATCTTTATTCTTATCATATGTGCAATATTGACTAAGCAATTTCTAGTGCCACTTAATGCCTTTTTCTGTTATATAAATACGACTGTACAGCTTGAAAAGGAAGTCGTTTAAAAGAACTATTTCTTCGCTGATCAAAAAGCTGTGCTGCTCCTTATAAATAAGAAGTATTCTCACAGTCTTTTCTTCCATTAAAAGTTGAACCTCCATTATTATTATTATTCATCGGAGTTATAGCCCTTACTGTGAAGTTATCTCTTTCAGACTGAAAGATATACGCTTATTTGTTTATAGAATGATAGTATTATCTATCAGTTTCGAATTAAGTTAATGTGGTTCAACAGTAGAATGCTCGCCAACCACTCAGGTAGTCCAGATTCGAATCTTGGTCGATGCACTCCTAAACCACGCCTAGTTTACCAGCCAGTAACAAGTCCAGGCGTGAGTCGAGCAATCTCACCCCATTGAAGTAACACTGCTTCTACTGAAACTCCAAGCCTGAAACCCCATAATTCACTCAGAACCCAAAGGGATTGTATATTTAAAAAATCAATTCCAATAGAATCTCTAACGTTTATCATCAATAAAATCCGAAGAGGGGGTCACTAATTCAATTTATACTCTGAGTAGTGTATGCTATTCATAAATAAATAAAAGTAGTATGTAGAGTAGTAACGTTTTTGGAAAAGGAGGTTTCAGAAAAAATACTTGTATCTACGAGACTCGTTGTGATTCATTAAGAGGTTATTTTGTAAACTTTACCCTTCAATATAAAGATTAACTACAGTTCCCCTCACAAAACCAAAATATTCAGATCATATCATGTAATGCGTCGGTGGCACAGTGGTTAGGACTCTCGCCGACCATGCACATGGTCCGGGGTTCGATCCCCTGCCGACGCACACCCGATATCTATGGTTGGCCTGAATCTGGGCTACCGATATCCATGCTGAAAATTCCATACTTGTACTGAAAATACGGTGTGGAATCAAGCTGTAAATCAAAAAAAATAAAAAAAATAAAAATAATCTGCTTGATACCATGTGTGTAGTAATCAGGGAAACAAGCATTCTGTCAAGATGGCATATACTGCTGATTAATTGGAGTGGTTTGGAATCACTTTAAACTAGGAGAAGTTCATGCTAACTAACTTATATAAGTCATTATCATATACCATCTTGCTAGGTTGCTTGTTTTCTTGATTGTCACTGATAGTATCTAAAAGACTACAACATGTGATCTGTTTACCTCGAACTTGTTACTTTGTACAAAATCTATTACATTTCATGTGTGTTACCAGTTTGTCCAGGTAGACATTCACAATTCCAGTGGTTTTGATTAATTCAGTTGTCTGGTTGGAGTCTAACCGACTAAATAAATGGTTAGCTTGATCTCACTAGAGCTAAACAGTGATCCGTTGTTTGGTTAACCTTGATTCGGAAACTAATCGCAGCAATCAGTAGTATAATATCATGTTGTTATTTCAAGGATGTCTGTATCAAATTATTGCCATGAATTTCGTCCAGAAAGACAACGAAAAGCCTCACAATTAAATCACCCAGCTCAAGTGGTGGCCCAAGTGGTCTAGTGGATAACGTCTTTTCACGGATACAGAGGGCTAGTTTCGCATATGCCAGTTTACGCCGTCTATGGCGTAGACGTGATATCCGACTATCGACCAAAGGGTGTGTGTACTGCTCATCAGTCCGCTCCGTCCTCCTTTATGGCTGTGAGACCTGGCCATTGAGAGTGGAAGACATGAAAAGATTAGCTGTCTTCGATCATAGGTGTCTGCGTTCTATCTTCCGTGTGAAGTGGTATAATAAGGTGAGCAATATTGAGGTTAGGAGTCAGTCGAGTGCTAGGTAAGGCGGGGAAATCAGTCGACGAGGCTGTGAAATTACATCGACTGAGATGGTTAGGACATGTGTTACATATGCCTAGTCATCGCCTTCCTCAACGGGCAATGTTAGCTGATATAGGGTCAGGCTGGAAAAGAGCTAGCGACGGTCAAACGAAAACATGGCACCAGTCAATGAAATCTATGACAGTTAGTCTAGGCCACGTAGGAAGGTGTAGACTTCTTGGCTGGTTGGGGTCGTCGGGACGGTGAAAAACCAATGGTTGGAGACTATTGGTGATATGGCTCAAAATCGTTCTTAATGACTGGCGCAGATGCATCCACTCCTTGTGAATCATGATTTCAAATGAAACTATATTGTTCTTCGTTATTACTATTCCTTTGTCTCACATCTCTGTTTACTGTCTTTATTATGCATTTCTCCTACTTTCTTCTCTTGCTTTGTGTGCCACATGGAGTGTGGCGACTTGAACTGCCGCACATATGTGCAAAGTTCTATGTCGAAAACAGACAGACAGAGACCCAGCTCAAAGAGCATAACCACATCAAAAAGACCACATATTCTGTTCAGGTTTCCTTCTTATCAAAGTATTTCTATGCACATGACTTAAAGGAGAATATACCACTTTAAATATCTTCGAATCCTGACCGTATTTTTCTTCAAAATACATGACATTTTCCATTTCGATAAGGGAATATTCTCAGTTTATATTTGTCGATTTGAGATTGTATGGTCCACTGGTCTCCAGGCGTTCAATTTCCGATGACTGACTATGTTAGGTAGGGTTCGACCCCCGTTCAACCTTTTGAAGTTAAGACAGTCAAATCGCAGTCATCACTAGATTTCAGACACACACGCATACACACACAACACGTACGGTTAATTGCTAAATGCATAGAAATGCAAGTGGTTGTTGGTTGAGTAAGATTTGCAATTTAATACTTGTGATGATTCTTCTATTCAATGAATCGTTATGCTTAAATATGCTTATGCAATCATATTTAAAGTAAATAAATTGCATGAATTTTAGTGATTTATGCTTATGATTCTATATTGGATTTGTTCATTTCTTCTTAACACCGTACTCTGATCTGCACTTTTGTTTCTCCTGTTCATTTTCTTTGTAATTATTTTTTTTAGGACAATATTATTCATGAAAGCGAATAAAGGCTATACGAATATGAGTTTCCTGCTGCCTATTATCTATTGTTTTGTATTAGGCCTTTTCTTCAGTGGACCTACTAAACGTGTAAGTCACTGTTTCATAATATTTTGTTTAGTATTCCTACCTTCCCCCGCCCCACTTTTTGAAGACATTTTCATCATGTTGTTATTGTGGTGGATAGTGACTAACAGTGGAGTCAAAGATGTCCGTTTCCTCCTATTTGGGACTCGTTAGCTGAAGGTACCTGCAACCCTCAGTGAGTGATGGTGTTCTCTTTGAGATTGGAGATGGAGGTGCATCCACATGACGAGTCCTAGGTAGGACGAAAGATAAATGTTGGATTCCACTGTTGGCCACAATCCATTAACTTACTTAGTGTTGATCCTCAGATACCGTCGAGGCGTCCGTACTAGGTGCCGACATATTTTTTTTTAATTTTTGGTTACAGCTTGGTTCCACACTGTATTTTGTGGTACAGGTATGGAATTTTCAGCATGTGATATCAGTAGCCCAAATTTTGCAGGCCGACCATAGATATCAGGTGTGCGTCGGCAGGGGATCGAACTCCGGACCATGTGCATGGTCGGCGAGAGTCCTAACCACTGTGCCACCGACGCACATGGACCAATCATTTCAACGGGAGATACAAAATTAAATTAGACAGTTTCATATCTTCCTTGTCATTGTCATTTTCAACTCCTTAAGTGTATTCTGTGTGTCCTGATTTCCATGAATTATCTTTATATAACACAATTAGTCTTAGATTGTTTTATGATATGGATTTAATCAAACAGTTGTTTAATTTTTCAATAAGTAACAACAAGAGATCATGATAATTAAAGATTTGAACCGAATAGACACCGAATTACTAACCGAGCGTACTCTGCCAGCTGATATAAGAGAATTAAATGCTAACCAAATCATCGTTTCACTGCAATCAGCATGGGTAATGTTTAACTATTATATGAATCGGAGACACCTTACTCTCAATTTATCATACTAGTTGGCCCAGCTAAGTTTTCGTCTGTCAATCTTAACCATATTGAATTAAAAGAGAAGGAGGTTTAGATTATTAATCGGTGGTTAGAGTATCTGCGATTGTCTTAGATGAACAGACTTATTGTTAATGCAGTGGATGGTGATTGAAGGAGAAGTAGAAATCTCGGTTGCAATAAGATTCGAAATATTGGATATTGAATTACTAGCTCAGCTCTCTGTATCAGCTAAGTTATAAGACTTAGTTCCTAACTACTTGATTGTTTCATTGCAGTCAGGTTATTGTGGTGAATGTATTTGTAGCTCTTATTGTGCATGTTTTGATAGTCTGCATGTTTTAACCCTTTTGAACTTAAAGTTTTTCACTTAGTTGTGTTCTCTGAGCTAGTTGATTTGACTGTGGAGCTTACGTCGTTCATCTCGACAACATCTTGATGGTCAGGTTTTAGTATGAAATGAACTCCGTGGAGTCCTGCATGATTGATGATATGTGTCTCCTCAAAACCACTGTCGTGACTGGTTGTTGGTTTACGTCTTTATTGATCACTTTTATTGACTTGGAATTTGAACTTTCGTATCCTGTGTTTTATCTTTTATTGGTTGGTAAATTTGGTCCATAGTGATGTGTTCGTTAATCGCCGGCTGATTCAACTGAGTACCAGACTTATAGAAATCCCTTGAATATTACAAGCAGAATGATGTTGGAACGAAAACTGCCTTAAGATAAACTGACTCAAAGTTTTCGTAATGACCGCTAACTGTAGTGGAGAAGAGTACCAGGTAGTCTTCTTCAGGCTTTTCTTGAATGTTGTAACTCTTTTGTTTTTAAAATCCAACTTGGCTTTCTTTTAAAATGTTGTGTTCACCAATTTACTAAACTCCGTAATCAGGCAGACACTTTCTAGAAGTTATGAATATCGACTTGTCAAAATAACTGCAATTCAGTAATATTAAAAATAATTTTGGAGATGTTACCCATTTATTTTGTCGAGTACTCTACTGCCAAACAGTGGGTCTACAGTTTTAATCCCGCTTCACCTATGTCAGCCTTCTCAACTAAGTTGTATCATCAGACCCCACACTATAATCTGATCCATGGAACTGAGTTCTAACTGTAATAATAACAATTATTGTCATTATTATTATTATTCATCCATGTGGCATTCTGTTTCTGTTTTATTTTATAGACTAAAGTGAACCATCTTGACATAACACGTGAATGGAAAGGATGGATGCAGTTGTATCTTTTAATTTATCATTTCACTGATTCTTATAGAGTAAGTTAACTAACTCAATGAATATCCAACTTAATTATCTCTTTTATAAATTAAAATTGTTCAATCCAGTTTATTATCAACACCCTTTTAAGCTAAATGCTAAAAGGTGCTTAGATCAATTCCATCTGCCTAGTAAGCACTACTGGTCTACAGGGGTGCCTTCCAACTAATGTTACTCAGTGATAAATATTATTAGTACTATCATTACTAGTAGCATTATTAGTTATAATAATTATTATCATTATTTCAAATTAATCTTTTGTAAGGTCCTCTCAAATAAGTGTCATATTTCCACATTATCCAGGTAACTCCAATATTTATGTCAGCTCGTCTAGTTGTTTCAAGTTATCTATTTCTATCAGGATATGGTCATTTCTCTTATTTCTGGCGTCAATCTGTACCGCAAATTAGTTGGCTAAAACTATTGAATGTAAGTTTTTGTTTAAATTTGTTCAATTTTATTTCAAAATGATTAAAAAAAATATTTAAAAAATCTTGTTTAGTCTATTGGTTTTACACCACTTTCTAGCAGTGGTATCTGATTCACTGATTTTCTGCATAGTATTTTGCAAAGAAAGGCAACAGTTCAAGTCGCTTTAGTCCATATGGTACATAAACGTAGAAGAATGAAAAAAATAAATTCAAAAGAACTTCATTGGGTAGAAGTTTCTGGAGCAAAGAATATTAACATGGAAAAACATAAGGGTTGAATATATATCTGGATGATTACAAAGAGTAAATGCATGTGTGCCATTGAGAACGATTTGGTGCGATATCACTAACAGTCTCAAACCATTGCTTCATAGTTTCCGGAGGGGCCTCCAAGTAGACAGTCTATACCTACCTACGTGATTCATAAAAAATAGTCGAAGACTTCATAAACTGGTTCTCCATATTTTCATGTGACCATTGCTGACTCTTTTCCGACGTAATAGTGTAAGTAATATTGAGGTTAGGCATCGGTCGAATGCTAGGTAAGCATAAAAAATCACTCAGTGAGGTTGTGAAGTTACACCGATTGAGACAGATGGCTAGGACATGTGTTACGTATGCATGCCTAGTCATCGATCGCCTTCCTCGACGGGCAGTGTCAGCTGACTGACATAGGGTCAGGTCGGAAAAGAGTTGGCTAGTGGTGGTCAAACCAAAACGTGGTTTTATCCGTCAATGAAATCCACAACAGTTAGTTTGAGGCAGCCAACCATGTAGGGGGGTGTAGACTTCCTGACTGGTTGGGCTCCTGGTGATGGTGGTAAAAACCAATGAGTTCTGGAGACAGACAATTGGTGATATGGCTGAAAATCGTTGTCAGTGATGGCGCAGAAGCATCCACTCCTTGTGACTTAAAATACCCAATAAAACTATATTGTCCTTCGATATTACTATTCTTTTTGCCTCATATCTCTGTTTACTGTCTCTATTTTGCCTTTCTTTTTACTTTCTTCTCTTGCTTTTTGTGGTGCATGGAGTGTAGCGACTCGAACTGCTGCACATTTGTGCAAAGTTCTATGTTGAAACCAGTCAGTCAATTAGTCATGCAACATAATCAATCAACGGAAAATGCAAATCAGTCTAAAAACAAATTGATAGAAAGTCCTTCCTGAAAAAATAATGACTTAGTCTTAACAGATTAATCCTTAGAGTGCGTCGGTGGCACAGTGGTTACGACTCTCGCCGACCATGCACATGGTCCGGGGTTCGATCCCCTGCCGACGCACACCCGATATCTATGGTTGGCCTGCAAAATTTGGGCTACCGATATCCATGCTGAAAATTCCATACTTGTACTGAAAATACAGTGTGGCATCAAGCTGTAATCAAAAATATTAAAAAATATATAAATATAAACTTGACCAGTTCGTGTGATGAATTCGGCAGTCACATTCAACTGTCACCCGGCCGACAGCTGCTAGTTGGAGGATTCGGACTTCCCACAAACTGGAAGATATGCAAGCGAAAAGCAACAAGTTGGCACAAGAAGCATCAAAAATAGGACTTCAGGTGAACATAGAGAAAACAGAGGTGATGAAGATTCCTGGGCAGCACCAACAACAGACAACGATCAGCATAAATGGAAGGAACCTGAAAGAAACAACCTCTTTTACCTACCTAGGAAGCATCGTTTCAACTACAGGCAAACGGAACTGACGAGGATATCAAAGCAAGAATCGGAAAAGCAAGACAAGCTTTCACTACTCTCAAGTCTGTGTGGAGGTCAAAAAATAAGATCCGGATTTTCTTTAGCTCCAATGTGAAGTCAGTGCTACAATATGGATCAGAGACTTGCACTGCGCGTCATAAAGAGCATCTCAAACAAACTACAAACCTTCATTAACAGTTGTCTTCGCTCAATACTCAAGATCAGATGGCCAGAAAAGATTAGCAACAGAGATTTCTGGGAGCGAACCAACCCAGCAGGAACCGATTTTGAAACAAATATGCAGGAAGAAATGGAGATGGAATGGCCATACTCTGGGGAAACCGTCAAGTGACATCACTAGACAAGCCCTTGAGTGGAACCCGAAAGGGAAGTGGCGAGTTGGTCGTCAGTGCAAGGGTGACTTGGAGGAGGTCATGTGAAGAGGAGATGAAAATGTGTGGGCAGACTTGGAGCCAGGTAAAAACTCTAACAGAGAACCGAACGCAATGGAGACGCACGGCTGAAGCCCAATGTTCCTGTAGGAATTAAAGGAAACAATAAAATAAATTCAACTGTCAAGCCTCCATCTATTTGAAATAAATCTTTGAAGAATAGATCCGTTCCAAATCAACTGTTATTTCCTACTACTACTACTACTTCTGTAAGTTGACCAGAATACCAACTCATCAGTTCGCTCAATAATTAAATACTCCATAGCATATTTAGGTCGATAAGTTTGGTTCACCTAAGCAGTTTAGATTCTTATTACCTGCATATCGTTATATCTAACCTTAGTTTAAGGTCAGTTGTGTGTAAAACCACAATAAAAGAAACAATTTTTCATACTAATAAGAAATTGTTATAATAATATTGACATAAATAAAAATAAATTTTGTTATTTATTAATGAATGCCTATACCTGTTTCTGTGTATAATTAGTTGACAATACTAATTAGTTACCACCGCCTTGGTATCGGTATTTAACTTTGAATTTTAAATCTCTCAGTTGGTATTTGCAAGTCGAGTCTATAATTATATATGAATTTATCAGTAATCTATAGCATTTCAAGTTATAAATCGAACTAATTGTATGGATAGATACACAATACTGGCTACACAAAGTGGCTCAGGCTTATGCGTACAAATATGTAATTGCGTTGTTGCTTCAGTGTTAGAATGCTGGCCAACTATGCATATGGACTGGCGTTCGACTTTCAGCCAATGAAATTCCAAACCTCGCTTAGCCTGTACCAAGCCCAGAAAGAGGGAAGGTTGGGCATGACGCTAGCGACCCCACCCCGTAAAAAATAAACACCATTGCCGCTGAAGCTCCAGAGCTCAAACTTGAAGCCCTGTGTTCCACTCACAATTTAAAGGAATATATATATTTATGAGAACGATAAATAAAAGATTAAGCGCAGCCCTGTCTAGGACGTATCCTGCAGCGTTATTAGTCTCTCTATCCCGAACAACCTCTTCACTGGTGCAGTCAAAGACTGACAAGTACCCCTCACATGTTACCTCCAACTGTGTATACCAATTCACATGTATCTGCGGGAGCAGTTACATTGGAAGAACAGAGAGGAGGGCCTACGTCAGATTCTGCGAACATGTACCAAGGAGCCTCCGGTTAAAGGGACCGAATTATTTAAGCTCTTCAATCGCCAAACATCTGATTGACACAGGACATCGAGTAGATGTGCTGGAATCATTCAAAATAATTAACAGACAAAGTACCTCAAGTCTTCTCAGGTTTGCTGAAGCTATAGCAATAAAACGATTGAAGCCTGACTTATGTGTCCAAAAAGAATCCGTTGTTGGACTTCAATTACCCTGGTGACTCACATCTTAGTAACTCTTTGTTTTCTAATTTTGTTAATTTTGTTAACTTATCTTTTCACTCCACCCCCACCCTTTATGTTTCGCTTGACTCTCTTAAGAGATAATTTTTCTTGATCTTCTGAGTTCTGCTCACTGTATTACATCATCAACTTCTCATCTGACCTCATGTACACCGTAATTTTAAAATTTTGATCTTCTCTTATCTAATTACGTAACTATTGCTAATTGTCTTTTGTTACCACCTTAACAACACAACTGTTAACTAATTTTTCAAGAAACTTCTCTCTACCAATAATAATAATAATAATAATAATAATAATAATTTACTTTATTCCAAAAACAGTACTTATAATACAGAATGGAATTCTCAGCATTTGTCACAATATTGCATCTGATTTACTCAAAGTGTTTATAAAATTAAAAATTAAAACAAAAATTAATCGGAGGAATTTGTCCACAATAACGACATAATTATTAGATATAATAATAATAATAAATACTAATAACAGTGAGTTTGTTTCAAAAGGTATTGTCGATTCAGTTTGGAAACTTTAGCATGTTATGGATAATTGGGTCTAATGTTCTGTTGATATGGTATAGTGAGGTGAAATACAAAGTTAACAGTCATAATACAGCTTAAAATTATGTCCACACTTATGAAAAATAAAATAAACAAAACGAAAAAATTGAGAGGATTATAAATATAATAAATACAATAACAATAAAGTATGATGCTTTAAGGTTGAAGGAAATGGTCTATTTAGTGGTGCTAAGAAGGTTAGTTAGTTCATTTCTGACACTATTTTCATCACATAGAGTACGTGCTAAATATGGTATAGTGGAATTTTTATACTTAGACGTACGTGCATAAAGTCTTCTGAAAAGACTTCTTGTTTTACCTGAGGAGACACAAGGTTGGAGCTGCTGGTAGAGTGGATGCTCAGAGTCTGACAAAATTCCTCTAGCGAATCTGTTGCATGACATCAAATGCCTATCGGTGACAATGCCAACGATATGGCCCAATGGGATACCACTCGTCCTACTGACAGTCTTCAGAGTTCTACGAAGTATGACGTAGTCCTTTTTTAGCAATCCAGGAAAGAATAATGGTGAACAGTAAAGAAGAATAGGTAAAATACACGAGTTGACAAACTGTAAGAGGAGTGGTTGGGTTATGCCTGAGTGCCTCAACTTCTTAATGTAAAAAGTCAGACGAAATATTCTTTGAGAAATCGCTAAGACATGAGAAGACCAAGATAGGTCAGAAGAGAGAACTAATCCAAGATACTTAACTTCAGACTGGGTCTCTATATCAATATCATCGATTTTGCAAGGATCATAGGAACCAACGGCTTCATTTAACTTTCGTTTACATCGGAAACTGAAATTAACAGTCTGACATTTGGAAGGATTAAGTTTAAGGCCGTTAGACGAAGACCATTTGCTAATTTCTGATAGAAAGTTGTTAATCTTAATACAGTCAAGTTGAGAGTTAACAGGCATTGAAATAGTTAGATCGTCCGCATACTTAACAAAGTTCATTTCATCGGAGTGAGGCAAGTCACGCAAGAAGAAAGAAAACAGAAAAGGAGAAAGGACGGCGCCTTGAGGGACACCAGCTTCAGTAAGCAATGAAGTGGACGACTTTCCCTGACATACAGTGTATTGCTTTCTTTCTGAGAAATAAGAATGGAGCCATTTGACAACCCAACAGTCAGTTTGAGTTTCAGCAAGCTTGTTTAGTAAAATGTCCCTAGGTACTGAGTCGAAAGCAGATGTATAATCTCGAAAGGTGCAGCGAACAAATTTAGCCCCCTTGTCTAAGCTGGAGACAATGTTATGATACAGGACTGCAGCTGCGTCAAAGTACTACTATGTTTGTAGGCGAATTGTTTGGGATCGTTAAAGGCTTTTAGTGAAGGTTGAAGATTAAGTAAGAGCAACTTTTCCATAGCTTTTAGAAAAGGGGAAGTAATAGCAATGGGTCTGAATTTAAAATATGTCAAGATATATATATATGTCGTGACACTACACACCCTGTAAATCTCAATGCCTTATTTTACTATGACGCTCTGACACTATGCTTGCTAATGAACAAAGGTAGTACGCAGCTCATGAGAACCAACGAAATAAAATAGATCCAGATTATTCTGCGCCAATGTTTCTTCTTTCTTTGTTCAAATATGTATATAAATACAAGCCAATAGGATACCGCGTTAGTTATTTGGAAGCCGATGTTTCGAATTCTGCCTCCATCACTGGTTTATTTCATTTCATTTTAAATTTTATCTTCCACAGTTTTGTACGTAGCTGATTTTTTCATAATTTAAATTGCTTACAAGCGCAAGCAATATACATATACTGATATCCTTTATACTGCCTCCAAAAGGCACCTTTTAAGTTAATATATATGATTAGATATAATATAATATAAAGAAAGTTGGATATGGTAAGAATGTAAACAAAATGCTTTTACTATCCAGTATTAATAAATTTCTCGGTGAAATAATCAATTGGATAGCTGACTGACTTAGTTTCAGCCTAGAACTTTACGTAAAGTGCATCAATTCTCTCGACGATAATCCAACCTAATATTTTGTTTGAGGTGAATAGAAGCATGGTGCTGAGTCAGTTCTTACATAGGCATAAATCACCCTTCTTTAGCTATTTAAAAAGGTAGTCTTTCTTCTTATCCATGGGTACCTTTCCTTCATTTCTTACCTTCAGAAGTGGCACGATCATATCCACTGAGTTCTCTGGATCAGTTTTCAGTGCTACTGAAGGAGTTCTGTCTGGTCCTAATGCTTTCCAGGCTTTAAGTGACTTTATGGCTTTCAAGACTTCCGTTTTTTGGATTATGAGTGTTCACTGACAGCCGTATGTAGTTCTGCATATAGTATTACTAGACGAGTTGCGGGTGGTTTCACCTGCATTGATTTTTTCCTAGAAAGAGATCTGGTTGTTTGACATGGTTTTGTGAGGTGTCTTTTACCTGCAGTCTGTTCTGCTTTAGTTACCAGTGTGTTGGAGAATTGTTTTCGGGCTTTCCAAGCACCCTTCTTCACTTCTTTATTCAGTGCATTGTACATTGAACTCAGCTTCTCTTTTCTTCGTTTATTTGTGCGTTGGCTTATCTTCTGTTTCGCCATTTCTATTTCTTCTATCAGCTTCCAGGTTTCCGTAGAGAGCCATCCCTTTTTTGTCTCTTATTCCTCGCCGACGCAGCTGTGGAGGTTTCCTTAGACATCACTTTCAATGAGGTCCAATTTTCTTCCACATTTGTTTCGTAGGTGATACTACATAGTGTCTCTGACTTTACTCTGGTGGCTGCAGTGAGTGTGTTCTTTGTGGTTTCGTCCTTCAGTGTTGAATTTGAATTGTGGTCTGTCTCTAACTGCTTTGAAGACTTTCGACGTGACCTTGGAGGTTCCGTGTACTAAATAATGGTCTTAGTCTGCATCTGCTCCTCTTCTCGATTGTATGTTCCGCAGGCTGCGTCTCCACTTTATTGGAAAACACTGAGATGCAATCTATATGATTTTTAGTGTGTGCGTCAAGTAAAACCCATATCGCCTTATGCTTCTACACACTACCTTCAATCAACCAAATCATTGAAGGCGTAGAAGTCTGCGAAGAGTTCTCCATTCTCATTCACTTCGTCGAGAACTGCTCAACTCATGGTGAATTTTCTTTCCTGTGTTGTTTGCTACCAGTTTGTCTTGCATTCATATGAAAAATACTCACTATTTATTTTGTTCATATTGAGCCCTCTGAGCTGGACGGTATAACCATAAAGTCATTATTGTCATTTTATAAACTATCGTTCAGATCATAATTTCGCTTTGATTTTCTTTTTCTTCTCCTATTTAGTACCATCGTTGTTCTCGAGAATTTTGTACTGCATGGAAAGCACTCTGGCAAATATTACATCGATATTTGATTGTAAGTTTTGTTTGCTACCGTTGTCGTTTTCTTTTTCATAACAGCACAATGATATTTATTACCCAGAAGTCTTAGAGTTTACATTGTATTGGTCGTTGAGGTGTGACCAGTATCACTTATATGTGCTCTTTAGTAACGCTGATTGAATTTTACCAGTGAAGTTTACAGTGTGTTCACCATGCTAGCAGACTCGCCATTGAGGTGCAACAAAGAGCCTTCAAGCATTTAACAAGTCTTAGAACTTCTCTGTTCTCAGTCTGTCCAATTGTTTAGTTCGACTTTCAGTTATTCTTTAATAGTGTTTATAAGCTCCATTCTTTACACTAAAAACAATGATCAATAGTTACTCTAGACTATGTTTTCTAAGAACACAATGCTTGAAATACTAAATACCGTCTGTGTCAGTGGTTCTGTGATAGAATACTTACCAACTATACCGGAGGTTTAATTTCGTTTCTCGGCCAACACACTACTCAACCTCGCTTAGTGTCGTAATAGCAGGCAGTTAGCCCGCAAAGAGCAGGAAGGTTGGGTGGAGGGGGTAGTTGTGAGGTTAGCAAACCCATCACGTAAAACTAACATCACCATTAATGAAACTTTAAATACCTTGAAGCCCTATGCTCCTCTCTGAACGCATAGATGAAGTAAAACGAAAATGCTTAATTGAATTATTTAGTCGAAGATATCAGGATTTTCAAAAGAATGGACACGGAACAAAGAGTTCTCTTTTCGATAAATTCATCATCAAGTTCCACAATTATATATACATTATAATGAAAGATGAAGTACCTAGACTAGCCACTTCAAATTGTATCTACCAATTCAACTCCACTTGTGGTGGAGCGAGTTATATTGCCCGTTGCTCTAGGAACTTGATTTTTCGTGCTCGAGAACATATCCCACTATGGCTAAGTAAAGGTGTAGTTAAAACTATTAACAGCTCGATATTAGACCATCTGGTGTAAACCGGTCACAAAGCCAGCGTAGAAGAATCCTTCTGTATAATATACCAGGCGCCTAACAAATTACCAAAGTCGTCGAAGCACCGCATGCTCCAAACAGCAGAGGCTATTGCAATTCGCCTTAAACAACCAGCGCTCTGTGTCCAAAAGAAACAAGTCCAGCCCCTACTACTGCCCTGGCCCTCAGTAGAGACTATAAACTCATGAATTTGTACTATTATCTTTCCTAATTCTTCTGACATTCAGCTTATTTTATGTTGATGCTACTGAGCTGTAATCTATCAATATTATTGATTCGATGTTATTTAAACAACATTAATGTCGTTCATAAGACTAATTCATTCATTCATTATAATGTATATATATTTGTCGAGCCTGATGATGAATTTATCGAAAAGAGTACTCTTTGTTCTGTGTCAATTCTTTTGAAAATTTTAATGGGCATTTTATATCAGGATTTATCAATAATCACAGTCATCTTAATAGTGTACAATGCTATAAGAAATGACTCTGCACACCTTACAAGTGATATATATATATATTCACTTCAATCGGTTAAAATTAATTTAATAGCTCATCTTGTCTACTTTACACATTAGGCCTTAATATTAGCAATGCTCTCACATTGTAATATTGTTTCTCAAAGAGTTCAAAGCCAACAACCGTATTTAACCACTTTTTAAAGTAAAATAAAGAACAAACTTTTGCACAATGGTAAGTAATCCATCGATAAATAGTCAATTGTATGCGTTGACAGTTAATTCAATATGAAAGTCTTTGGTTTCATGCTATACGCGGAACAATTTTCAGGTGATAGGTTTAAATCATAGAATTCTCCTTTCACACTTTTATGTCTCAAATTTTATGCTTGGTATTATATACGCGTGTTATCTTTTGAAAATAATTTGCTTTTGTTGTTGTTGTTGTAGTTGTTCATATTTTCATATCGATTATTCACTCACACCTCTGAGACTTACTTTTTATTTGAATTTAGATCACAGACTGATATCATGGAGGACTTCATCATGAGCTGACATCAGTTAGAGAACCACTAGAAAATCTGGGAGTACTGGACAGCTGTTTCTTCCTAGTTTGGGACTCGTCAGGAGTACGCTCAATGGTCTACGAGCTCACCTTGTAACCAGAAGGTCCTGGGTTCGAGCCCCCTGTGGTGTGTGCATACTACTGAAGAATCCCAAACTAGGAAGAAGCAGCTGTCCAGTACTCCCAGGTTTTCCAGTGGTTCTCTAACTGATGTCAGCTCATGATGAAGTCCTCCTTGCAAACAAACAAAATCCCTACAAATCCAATACTTGAAAGTCTGATATCAGTTAAAGAACCCGTTATAAAACACTAAGGACTGAATAGCTGTTTGGTCGTAGGTTGAAACTCTCTGAGTGATATGAGTTCGCGATCTAACTTGAATTCAATCATATTCCCTGCAAACTAACATTTGGAAATTAATATACCGCTCAATAGTGACTAACAACAGGATGTATTACCTGAAGGGGTATAGTAAGAAGTCGTAATCATTGGGGTCCACTGAATCTGATGTGATGATAGGTATACACTGATAATATTGCCTGGCGTTGGCGCAATATATCTCTAGTTGACAGAGGTTAGCAGTCATTTGTAATTGGGTTTCGTCCTAGATGTTGAATGGTCGACAGACTTTCCATACAACGCGGAGGTCCTGGAGTTCAATCTTTGACGGGGTCATGACGCTTACTGCTGAATAGTCAGTCCAAAAGTAGGACGAAACAGCTCTCCAGTATTCCCGGCTTTTCGATGGTCCTGAAATTGATATGATTTCCTGAAGTCACTTGAAATCTCCATGGTCTCTGTCCAAGAAATTATCACCTCTCCAGACATCCATAGTCACTTCACTGTGAAAATTTTCAGTTATTTCCGGAGTGGTTTTGTCACTAGTAAAATTTGGTGTGTGTGAAGATGAAATTCATCGGTTGATTTAAGCGCTTGGTTTTTGCTCCAATGCATCGTGAGTGAGGTTGTATATCGCTTCACATTTATTCCAGTCTTGGAAAATGACTTCTTTATCATTCACCTTCACACTATAAAGTGTATAGCTCTTAACCTGCCTGATATACACTGTTAACACTGTTCTGTGTTAACTGAGAATTTCTGAAGAAAGAAAAACGACTCAATCAATGTGAATTTGTTTATACTCACATCCTCTATTGAGAAATGAATGAGAAAGTGTGAACTAATTAATTCTTCATTATCATCTGCACAAACCATATGGTGATATACTCATATCAAAATTAGCAATAATATTAGTAGAATTTCATTTATTCCTCAAATTTATCAGTTAGAATTCAGTCGGTAAGATAAAGTGTACGGAATAAAGTCATTAGGCATATTATTTATGAATATCACGCAAAGCTGATGAATGATATTCACTTATGAGATAAAAAAGAAATTTAAAATAGGAAGAGAAAAGACATCTGGTATAAAATTCCCAGTTCATTTTTAAAAGGATACAAGATAATTTTAATAATAATAATAATTTGCTTTATTCCATAAACAGTACTTGTGATACAGAATGGAATTCTCAGCATTTTTACTACTCAGTATTGCATCCACTTAGTACATTATCAATAAATAGAACTCTACATAGATTAAGGAAATATCAGTTCATTACGACAACAACATATTGGCATGTCGGTAGCAAAGCCAAAGCTGAACAGTGTTTGAAGGTGTTAGAAAAGTAGGTGCTGTCATATTTACTGGCGTAAGCGAGAGAAAGAAACAAAGCAGCACATAACGGATAAAAAGAGAGAGAGAGGATAGGAAAAGAAAGAAGGAAAATGTTGTACCTATAAATGATATGAGTTGGAAAGACGAGATGCAGTTGTTCTACTGACTATTTAATGAATTATAGGTGTCACGCCTAATGCTTTCTTTATCGCACAGAACACGAGCTTAGTAGGGTATGGTTGAGTTTTTGTACTTACTGATGCGAGCATATAGTTTTCTATATAGGCTTCTGGTTTTACCTGATGAGATGCAAGGGAAGACTTGTGAGTGAAGAGGGTGGTGTGAGTTAGATAAAATGGATTTGGCCCATTTTTCACATGAGTCCATGTGCCTGTCGACCAGAATATTAACAAGCTGGTTAAGTGACAGCACGTTGCTTACCCTGCTGACAACCTTTAACATCCTGCGTAATATGTTATAGTGTTTCTTCAGTAGCCCGGGAAAAACTAAGGGGGAACAATAGAGAATAATAGGCAGAATGCGAGAGTTAACGAATTGTAGGAGTAAGGGTTGGGTTATGAATTAGTATCACATGCAAAACTTTCTAGCCTCCTCTTCTTGTCTTCTTTATATTAGCATATCTGTGGTACTCAACTCACATAAGTAAATGCAGAACTTTGAACAGAAGTGCTTCAATTTAGGTTGTCATTATTTAGAAAAGAAGTGTAACGAATATTTCAGTGGATCACAATATGTGATCTGTATGGTATCATAAACGGTAATTAAGAAATTAAGCAACGTGTAGTGTATACTACTGATTGACACGAGTAGTTGCAAACTATCCAACGATATCAAACTGATAGTCCTTGCCTGTCAGTGTATGGAAATGATTTAAACATATTAGACGAGTGTTTTGCTCGTTTTGAGAGCTAAGCCCACCAACAGTGTATCTAGTTCAGAAAGAACAACCTGAATGCCTGTTAGATTCTTGGGGTAACTGGTGATATATAAAGTTGAATTTTGCTGTTTGCAAATTACACGGTGCGAAGTGAAAAGATTTATGTTCAGTATATGGAATATGAAAAGAAAAGAACAACGCATTTACTCTATTTTGAATGATTTTAAACCATGTTTATTATTATTATTATTGTTCCCCTGGGTTCCTAGTGGAACATAGGGCTTCAACTGCACATCTCCACTTGCTTCTGTCTTCTTCTGTACTTTTCACCTGCATCCATGTTAGTCCATACTGTCTCAACTCCTCTTCACACGATCTCCTCCATGTCACCCTTGCACCGACGAACCACTCACCGCTTCCCTTTCGGGTTCCACTCGAGCGTTGGCCTGACGCATGATGTCACCCAACGGCCTCCTCAGCGAGTGTCCAATCCATCTCCACTTTCTCCTGCATATTTGTTGGGCGATTGGTTTTTGTTTTGTTTCTTCCCATAGTTTCTTGTTGGTGATTCTTTCCGACCATCTGATCTTCAGTATAGAGCCAGCGAAGACAGTTGTTGATAAAGGTCTGCAACAGGCTGTTGGAAATATTCTTTGTGACCCGCCAACTTTTTCACCCGTATAGAAGAGCTGACTTGATGTTTGTATTGAAAATCCGAATTTTGTTGTTGATGCAGGCTGAGTGACGAAGATTTCCAGATTGGTTTCAGGTTGATGAATGTGTTTCTCGCCTTCCCGATTCTCGATTTGACATCGTCGTCCGTTCCTCCTGTGGTTGAGACAATGCTCCCTAGATAAGTGAATGAAGTAAACTCTTTCAGATCCCTCTCGTTGATGGTGATTGGCGGTGGATGTTGCTGCTGTTGTTGTTGTTGGTTGGTTATTTTCATAACCTCCGTCTTGTCTATGTTCACCTGGAGTCCTGTCTTCTCTGCCTGCTTCTTCGACCAGTTTGTCGGTTTTCGCTTGTAAGTCTTCGATTTTGTGTGACATCAAACATAAATCATCCACGCGCGAAATCCAGGTCTTCTAGGTTCTTCACGTCTGTCCAGGATATCCCTGTCTTCTCGTTTCCCACTGTCTGACGCATAATCCAGTCCACCACAATTAGGAATATCATTGGTGATAATAAGCACCCTTGTCTGACTCCTGTGTTCACTCCAAATGCCTCGCTGAGTGTTCCGTTGTGCATCACTTGACATGTACCATTGTCGTACTACTGTTGAATATGGTTGATGAATATTTGGGGTACGCCGTAGTACTCGAGTAGTTTCCAAATTACTTCGCGGTCAACGCTGTCTGTCGAAGGCCTTCTCAAAGTCTATAACGTTGAGGTGGAGGTTTGATTGCCATTCTATGCTTTGTTCGATGATGATGCGTAGAGTTGCAATTTGGTCAAAACATGATTTGCCTTTCCCTTTCAATGTTACAAAAAGTTATCAAGAATTTATTCTTAGTCCAATTCAGCTAACAATGCATGTCGAGGAAAATGTTGGCTTGGTATGTTATAAAGCTTTACTGTCTCGTCTATCTATAAGCCGTTATAACTTAATACTTATGCCTACCTCGTTATTAATTACTACGTTGCTTCGCCTAATTCTAAGATTTCAAGGATAGCGTCTGTGATTACTTTAGGTATCACTGACGGACACCACTGCTTGTTAAGTATATTCAGACTGCAACTCTCCACAAACTATGAAACGACTGCTTTAGTTCCTGTAGAGTACATTACTCAGCATAATGTACTTTCTTGGTACTCCCCTCATAGCTAAGCATTACCATAATGTCATTCGATCAATAGAACCAAGTACCGATTTCAGGTATGTAAATAAGACAACATTTTGATGCCTGTGAGTATACCTGTGGAGGGCTGAATACATTTGATAAGTCTACCTTCGTCTGAGCTCAAGGTCTAACTGATTCGCCCAGGTTTATTTTTCCCGAACTTCATTTAAACTTTATCTCGCTATGAAACCTAAAACAATCGATACTGTTATTCAAGCTGGTCCCCTTAAGATTGTTTCTAGAATATTACTTGCTTTCCAAAATGAGGTGATCAGTGATCCACAACCAGGCCTTTAGAACATCTATTTGGTTACAGGTATTCTTGTGCATTATGGTAGTCCACGCTGGTGTTTAAAAAGGAACGAAAATACTAGGTGGTCTATTTTCGCTCACAATAGGTTTATTTTCAGCGGTCGCCAGGTGAGATGATGTTTTATGTTTGAAGCTACTGCTGACCAGGAGCAGATGATTGTAAGAGGCGATCACTGTTGTCCATTCGTTGTCATGATCCACCTCTAATATATTTTCCGAATTACATCATCTTCCGTACTTATATAACGGGATATATCCATTGGTGATAACCGTGTGTTTTCTTTCTTACTTGAATAAAATAGTTACCTGTCAAGATGACTACATGTGGGCACCTTGTTTTTCTACAGTAAACTGAACAACTTCCTATATAGTGTACCCTTTGCTTTATCTTAATTACAGTTAATTAGTGCTTAAGTGAAGGCTGCTAAAACGCATCGATATATATATCACAGTCTTCTTTCCTATTGACCTATTTACGTGGATAGTATACAGACGAATCTCCACTGGGGTTAATTTAAGCAATATCACCTGTTGTACAGATTAATGCTTCTCCTACACGAAAGGTTCTCCTGTCATTTATTCGGGTGAAGTCTGATCAATTTTGTGTCTGCCAAGTAAGTAAGATTAAGGGAAAAACTGCACTTACGTATTGTATGTGAGTCTCAGACATACAACATACATCCAAAACTCGAGATGTCAAAGTTTTGACTAATGACACTTGTTGTTGGATTTGGCATAATTTCCCAATATAAATTTGACGATATGATTTTAAAACACTGTGAATGGCACATGCTCTGTTTAGTTTTATCGACTGTTTTTAATTTGTCAGTGTTGGCTTATAGGATTGGTTGATTGGTTTTAAGGTGGATTCTGTCACGAACCAGCATCAGATAAAAAACCAAATAGTACTGAGTACCTGTTTCGAAATAATTTGGGACTATTCAGCAGTCTGTACAAATGATCCCATCAGGAATGGAACCTAGGACTATCACGTTACGAGGCGAGTACATTAGTGCGTTGAATCATCTTGAATGCTTTCGTTGTCTCAACTAAATGTGACAAAACGGAGCTACGGATGGTTTTTGTCTGTCCTTTGCCAAATCATATTGGGGAATGTTCAGTAACACGTTGGCTAAGCTATCTAGTAGTACACCCGTACATTCGCTACATAACACCGCCTCCATCTGGTGTACTTTTAGCGAGTATCTATCCTCATACCCAAATTCTTGACATCCAGCAGTAATAACTCCTCTTTGGAGTGGACAAATGCGTTGCAATTACTAGGACGTTGAATGTTGACCTGTTGGCTGAATGGTAACATGTTCATTTCATACTCTGAAGGTCTTGGATTCGATTTTCACTAGGATCATGTATAGTTACCGTTGAAGATTCCAAAGCAAGAAAAGTATAACTTTTTGGTGCTCTGTGGTTTTCAATAACCCTTCCAAGACGTTTTAAACCTTACACTGATTCAACTTTGTACAAGTTTATACTTTAATTTGTCTGATTTCCTATTTGATCATGTACAACATAGTAGTAAAGTGTCGCAAGGTAAGACAAAATAATTATTCAATCTTTTCCTGTCATCCTTTATCATTTATATCGGTTGGTCGGTAGGTCTTCGGCATAGAACTTTGCACTTATGTGTGGCAGTTCAAGTCGCCACACTCCCTCCTTGTAGCACACAAAGCAACAGAAGAAAGTAGAAGAAATGCATAATATAGACAGTAAACAGAGGTGTGAGACAAAGGAGTAGTTATAACGAAGAACAAAACAGTTTCATTGGAAATCATGAGTCACAAGGAGTGGATGCATCTGCACCAGCTATTGAGAACGATTTTGAGCCATGTCACCAATTGTTTCCAACCATTGGTTTTTACCGTCCCGAGGTCCCAACCAGCGAGGAAGTCTACACCTTCCTACGTGGCTTAGACTAACTGTTGTAGATTTCATTGACTGGTGCCATGTTTTCGTTTGACCGCCGCTAGCTCTTTTCCAGCCTGACCCTATATCAGCTAACATTGCTTGTCAGTCGAGGAAGGCGATGACTAGGCATACGTAACACATGTCCTAACCATCTCAGTCGATGTAATTTCACAGTCTCGTCGACTGATTTCCCCGCCTTGCCTAGCACTCGACGCCTAACCTCAATATTGCTCACCTTATTACGCCTACCACTTCACACGGGAGATAGAACGCAGACACCTATGATCGAAGACAGCTAATCTTTTCATGTCTTCTGCTCTCAATGGCCATGTCTCACAGCCATAAAAGAGGACGGAGCGGACTGTTGAGCAGTACACACGCCCTTTGGTCGATAGTCGGATATCACGTCTACGCCAAAGACGGCGTAAATTGGCATATGCGAAACTAGCCCTCTGTATTCGGGTTGAGATTTCGCCGGAGATCAACCCGTTGGGGGCTGATGGTACTTCCCAAGTAAGCGAAGTGGTCAACACGCTCTACCGCTTCACTTCCTATTTCTAATACAAACTAAATTGTTTATTTAAACACCTACTTTCTTAATTCATAATTTGTTTGTCTGTTTGTTTCTCTGCATTTTAGGTTATTTATCGTTTTAATTTTTTTGTCTTTGGCTTATGCTTAATTATGAATCGTGGTTATCTAGCCTATTATTTTATCCCATTGGTATCATTTTGGTTCACTGTTGTACTCATTGTATGCGTTATATTTCCACGTGTATCCGGCCAACAAATCTCTGGAAATTATAAAATTCATGAAGCTGATAGTCGTACTCCTAATAATGACATTACTAATAATATTAACAACAACAACAGCAATAATAATAATAATATTGACAATAATTCTAACCGTTCAGATACTATGAATACTAATTCGACTACAATAACACTGACATCTGTTTCGTCTACAATAACTACTACAGACAATCATCACATGAATAACTTTGATGATGCTTTGACCAACATTGATAATAACAGAAATTACTATTACTACAACAATAACAACAACTATAACCATACTAATGATAATCATTACTCCTCCTTTCATCAGTACTTGCCTACAGTAGTCAATCATAATCAATATCTGCCTAATCAATTCACCGAATCAGATGATGAGGTATATTTCTCTAAATCATCAGAAAAATCATCTTTATTGTTATTAAAACCAGCACTGGCGCCTCCTCCGTCCTCCTCTTCCTCTTCCTCCTCCGCCTCTTCAACATCCTCTACACCACCACAGAATTCAAGAAGTACTGCTGTAAAGAATAAAATCCACTGTCTTCCATATTCTTCTTCAGCTACAATTCGTTCATCTATTAATTATAAAGGTCATCAAAAAGCTTTATCACTTGGTACTGGATTTGATTTATGCCAAAATTATACAAATGTTGTGAATGCGAATGCTTTTACAGGAGCAACATCAGCGGCAACAGTGTCTTCTGATAACCATCAGGATCAGTATAATAATAATAATATAATATAACAATATCAGATCGTATTGGCCTATTATCTCATCATAATGATGAAATCAATAAACGATCTGTTGGGCATAGATTACATCGATCTATGGTGAAATCACGTGGTCGTCATGGTCCACCGTTAACAGAAGATTTAATGCGTAAATTTCAGTGTATTGTTACCCCATTGAAAAAACAAACTAAACATATGCATAAAAAGCATATCATGTTAATGAATCAAAAGCTACGTCGTCAACCAATTGAATCATCTAAAAGTTGGATATTATATTATTTTCATTCAAAATTATGCATTCATTGCAGTCGTATACGTTTAGTATATTTAATTATGATTGTGAAATTTATTATATTATTATGCTTTATTGAAGTATTATATCGTTCAAGAGAATGCTTTAATTGGTTATTCTTTTCTGGGTAAGTCTATTCATCAATATACATAACTTTACAAATAAATATTGAAGTATAAACCAATCTCGGTGATTTGAAAATAGGGTGATAAAATTGTGCATATCAATTGTGCAATTAGTCATAATAATAATAATGATTCTTAAGTACACAATCATTTATAAAATCTAAACATGTTTTCGCTTCAGTGAGTTTGACATTATACTTCAGGTACTCATTGAGTGCTTTTAATGCACTGGGATTCCTGGACTGTACTGGACTACGTCAACTTCTAGCTTAGTAATAGGGAGTGAAGTGATAGAACATGTTGACCACTTCACCTATTTGGGAAGTTGTATCAGCACCAACGGACTGATTGGCAACGAAATCTCAGCACGGATCCAAAAAGCTCGAGCTGCTTTCGCTAACTTACACTATCTCTGGCGTAGGTGTGACATTCGACTATCAACCAAGGGACGTGTGTATTGCTCAGCAGTTCGCTCCGTCCTTCTCTATGTTTCTGAAACATGGCCAATACCAGTTGAAGACATAAAAAGGTTGACTGCTTTTGCTCACAGATGTCTACGATCTCTTTCTCGCGTTAGGTGGTATAATAAGGTAAGTAATGTTGACGTTAGGCGTAGAGTGTTGGGCAAAGAGGGAAAATGAATCGAAGAGGCTATAAAGTTACATAGATTGAGATGGCTAGGTCACGTGCTACGCATGCCTAACCATCGGCTCCCCCACCCAGACGGGCATTACTAGCTGATATAGGTGCAGGTTGGAAAAGAGTAAGCGGTGGCCAAACAAAAACATGGCATCAATCCATAAAATCCTTGACAGTTAAACTGAGTCAGGTAGGGAGATGCAGACTTCCGGGTTGGGACCCTCAGGACTCTAAGAATCAATGGCTGGAGACAATAGGTGACATGGCTCAAAATCGTTGTCAATGGCTTACGCAGATGTATTCAGTCTCTGTAATACTCAGTCTCATATTCCTTTCTACCATTACTCATTCTGTTTCACTCTTATACTTGTCAAAACTCTATTGATTCTCTTCACTCATCTTCTTGTCTACGTTTGTGTGCTCTTTGGAACGTGGCAACTCGAACTGTTGCACTTCGGTGCCAAGTTCTATGTTGAATCCAGACAGACAGGCTGGGATTCCTATGTGATTTCAAATCTTTAAATATTCCCATTATTAATATTAGAACAAGATATATCAGTGAAGAATATTGTTTTCAATTAGATCTTCTTCAGACTTTACTCTAATTTATATAGATTTATATATAAAAATTTTAACCAATGACGTTGAGTTTGTGGATCAAATAATAATGATAATGTGTTAAGTGTTTTGAACGTCAGTAATATCGATGATTATAATGATATCAAAAAAAACCTTTATTATAATGAATATCATATACCCAATGCCCAAATTTCTTCTAACTGTTGAAAGTGAACTTGGTTTGGACATATATAATGATTATAAGATTTGTTATATAAAAGAAACCAAAATAAGATTAAATAAGCTCCTTAAGTGACGTGATATAATTGACGAGGTTGAGTAGAGCTCTACTAAAATTGAAATTGAACAAAACTCAAGTTAACAACAGTAGTAATAAGGGGTAGCGAGAGAAAATGTTTTACAATTAAGAAACAAAAAAGCCAAAAAAAAGACGAAACTAAAATTACGTATTTGGTGTTAAGATAGATCAGTCCCACTGTAGATTTGATGACTGAACAAACATCTTTTTTTGTATGTAAAGTTCAGGACTTAACATGTGAATTGCTATCGCTTCTGGGGTTTGAAGACGTTTGATTCCTACTCTTTCAGCGAGATTCCCACGTATTCTGTAGATTACTTTGAAGTCTTTTTTGTGAGTTTGCTTGGTGTCCTGATTCGATCAGGTGTTCCAGAATAGAGCTTCGGTGGGGAGTGACGTTTTCTTCTCCTTTATAAAACCATGAGGATAATAATTTACCATGATCAGTTCATCAACTGATTAGATAGTCGTTACTTTAATTATCTATTAACTGTATAGAATTCAAGGTAGGTTTTATTTGATGCCCCTTCCTGGGTTCGATTCTCAGTTGGAAGACCATCACTCACTGGAAATGCAAGTACATCCAGTGGACGAGTCTCAGATAGGACGAAATGAATATCCTGGATTCCACTGCTAGTTTATCATCCACGAAATAATATCAATGTTCATCCTCAGACATCGTCGACATATCAACAGCAGCTGAACATTTCGAATCAGCCGTAAATGCTGTCAAAAACCTGAAACCAAAAGTTAGTAACAGCCATTGGATCTCTACTGCCTCATCCGAACTGATTGACGCAAGAATACTGACTCCGGCGAGCTCCGACTATGATGAGGATCGAAACCTTCTCAAACACAAACTGACAAGAAGCCTTCGTAACGACCGTGAACAGTGGTGGGCGAAAAAAGCGAAAGAGATGGAAAAGGCATCGGCGATCGGTAACACCAGGAAACTATTTAGACTTACCAGGGAAACAGGAGGTAAAAGGAAAATGTTAAGTGAAACAATCTCTGATAAAAATGGCACCATAATTAGCTTTCAGGATAGGCGACTGGAACGTTGGAAAGAACACTTTGAAGAGCAATTTCATTGGCCTAAAGCCACGCTCAACTTACCGAACATCCAACACCTTTCTGAATGGGATATAGACTCAGGTCCTCTATCCCTAACTGAGGTTATTAAAGCTGTCACTAGTCTGAAACGAGACAAAGAAGCAGGACCTGGCGGAATGACTCCAAAAGTGTTCAGGGACGGCGGAGACAGCTTAATTTCTGCGTTAACTAAGGTATTAGGCAAAGTCTCTAAATCATAGGTAATCCTGTCGGGTTCGTGTAAGTGACTAATTATCTCGATATACAAGAACGGAGATAAGTCTTCCTGTGATAATCATAGAGACTGGATTACATTGACTCCCAGCTTAGAGATAGGGAGTGAAGTGGTAGAGCGTGTTAATCATCGCTTCACTTATTTGGGGAGTTGTATCAACCAGTACCAGCGGGTTAATCGCTGACCAAATCTCAGCGCGAATGCAGAAAGCTCGTTTCACATATGCCAACTTACGCCATCAACAGCTTATTAGACGTGATATCCGACTGGCTGTCGACCAAAGGGCGTGTATACTGCACACCAACAGTTGGCTGTGTCCTCTTTTATGGCTGTGAGACATGGCCACTGAGAGTGGAAGACATGGAAATGCCAGCCAGCTGTCTTTGACCATACGTACCTGCGTTCTATCTCCCGTGTTAAGTGATAGGCGTAATAGCGTGAGCAATATTGAGGTTAGGCATCGGTCGAGTACTGGGTAGGTGAGAGGGGAAATCACTCATTGATGTTGTGCAGTTATACTAATTGAGAAAGATGGTTAGGACATGTGTTACGCATGCATGCCTAGTCACCGACCGCCTTCTTCGACCAACGGGTAATGTTAGCTGACTGACATAGGGTCAGGCTGGAAAAGAGTTGGCTAATGGTGGTCAAACCAAAACATGGGTTTGTCGGTCAGTGAAATCCACAAGAGTTAGTTTAAGAAACCCAGCGATCCTCGAGATCCAGATCTTCTAGAGTCTTCTTATCGGTGATGCAGCGTAGTTGTGTCTTGTCGCTCCCCACGTACACGGTATGCCGCATAATCCAGTCCACAACAATTAGGAATATCATTGTTGATAATAGGCAGTTCATGTTTTACTCCTGTATTCACATCAAAAGCTTCTCTGAGTTTCCCCTTTGTGGATCACTTGACACTTGCTGTTGTCATATGGAACTTGTCGAATAACTAGGTGATGAACTCTATCACAAGTAAGTTTCTTTACATCATATGATTTTGTAATATCAATTATCACGGGATTAATTCAGTGTTCCTCTGTCATAATTCCGATTGAAGTACCTTATATTTTCATTTGAATTATTTTATAAATATGTTGTTTTTTTTGTTTTTGTTTTACAGACCACAAAAATATTTATTCCAGTATAATCATGAACAAACAACAAATACACAGAATGTTGTACAACATGAAGAAATTGTAGATAATCAACAAACATGGTTTTATCGTTGGTCAATGGATCGGTATTCAGCTATTTATGGTATGATATTTGCCTTCGTGTGTGAATCATTACGACAAATTGGTGTATTAAAAGATGGCGAAGAGGACTGTATGAATTCACCCATATTACCATTACATCGGAATAGTACTAACCGTAGTTGCAGTAGTAATAGTAGTAGGAGTAGCATTGGTAGCAATGATAATAATAATAATAGTATTAATAGTAATATTAATAATGCTGAAAGAGGTTATGTACAAAAATGGGAGACTGGAAATAATTCAATCTATTATAACACTACTCTGCTGCTACTACTACTTCTACTGATCATAATAAAAGTAATTATTGTACACGATCAAATTCACTATTCAACAGTCAATATACAAATCATGTAAAACAAGAACAATCACAGCAACAGTCTCAACAACAACGAAGACAAGAGGAAGAAGGAGAAAAAGGCAGTAGAGAGAGAAGAAATACAAGACAAGTGGATTTCAACAATTCACATACCAACTCTACTACTACGACTATCACTGTTAATAATAACAATAATAATAATAATAATGACAAATATCAGATGAAGAATTCTTGTTCATTATGTGAATTTCTATGCAAGTGCTTTTCATCATTGGGTTTAACTATACTAGGTATTTTTGGTTTATTGGTAAGTTTTGTATTATTTTTTTTAATACTTAGTTTGTTACTTTGTTATTGTTGTTGTTGATGATGATACCTTCTTGATGAAAACTTTGGAGAAAGAAAACATGTGTACTTCTTCAGCTAAGAAACGTGTTTACTACTAAAGCTGTATCAACTTCTAGTTTAAGGACAAGTAATAGTATTATTATTACTATTAATATTCTCTTAGGTCTCGAGTGGAACATAGGGACAGCGTCAGTACATCTACATTTCATCCTGTTATCTACAATCTTCATTAGCTGGCTTCATGATTTTCTTCCTCCTCACGTCACCCTCCGACCATTGCACAAACCGTCGTTTCCCATTTGCATTCCACTCGGAGGCCTGGCGTGCGATGTCACTCAGTGGTGTATGTCTTAGTGTATATCTGATCCACCTCCATTTTCCTCAGCATATTTGTTGGGTGAAAGGTTCTTGGTTGATTTGTTGCCTGCCAGAGTTCCTTGTTGTGAACCCTTTTCAATAGGCTATCTGGTCTTCAGTATGGAGCCAGTCAAGACAGCTGTTGATAATAGTGAAACGATTTAATGTGTTGACCACTTCATTTGTGTAGAGGACAGTGGAAGCTGTATCAGTCTTAATGGAGTGATGGTTGGCGTTATTCTAGGTTGGAATATACAAAAGGCTTGTTTGGTATTTAGTGACTTGTGTTATTTTTGGTACAAAGGAAGTGCGTATTGTGTAACATTTACTCCGTTCTATTCTACAAGTGTCAAAAATAACTTAATTTTCAAATTTCTTATTACTCTGTCTCGTGATAGTTGAAATACCACATTGACACTGATCTCACAATGACAGTGCAGAGCAATGGTGTGCAGAGCTAGGTTACTTAGTGAGTAACCAAGTTTCAGTCAAGGAATTTTCACAGAAGCACAACAGTTCATATTGCCGCACTGCACATAGCACACATAGGTGGTCTTCACCATCCCAAGTACCCTAACCAGGCAGTCTCCACCTCCCTGCGTGGATCGAACCAACTGCCACAGACTGATGCCACGTTTTTGTTTGACCATGCGCCCCCCTAACTCTTTTCCAACCTAATTCTATTTACAATTAAGTTAGGAGCAGAGATCAATTGATGAGGTTGTGAAGTCGAGTCAGTGATATTGGAAAATAGTATAGGATGGTGGTCAGGCAAAAAAGTGGGATCACTTCATGAAGTTATCATCGGTTCATCTAACCTCTGTTGGAGGATTTTATTTAGCCGACTGGAGTTCTCAGGATGCTGAAATCAATAATCGAAAACTAGTTAACATAGCTCAAAATTATTAACAGTAGCATAGATGAAAATTAAAGAAAACCTTCTTTGCAGCTGAATTACGACTGACGTCCTCCACGAGACCAATGATTCGCATGAACGTGAAGGATAAGCTACCGCTGTTGGCCTCATCTATGTGCATCTACCAATTCACCTGCTCGTGTGGAACCAGGTATATCGGCCGTACTCAGCGTTCGCTATCCAAACGCGTCAACGAACATTTACCTTCATGGTTTTATAAAGGAGAAAACCGATGCCCCCGCAGCTCGATCCTTGAACATTTGATCGATTCAGGACACCAAGTCAAACCAGAAATAAACTTCAAAGTTATCTACAGAATACAAGGCAATCTTGCTAAAAGTGTACGGATCAAACTTCTCCACATCGCAGAAGCAATGGCAATTCATCTGCTAAATCCTGAACTCTGCATACAAAAGAAATTCGTTCATTCATTAAATCTACAATGGACGTAATCTTTCTTAATTTCAGTCTTACTAATTGTATTATTTTGTCTTTTGCATTTTATTATTTCACATCTTCATTTGTATTATTCTCTACCCCACCCTTTTGTAATCTCTACCCTCATTAACAATGTTGCTAACTCAACCCACGTCCAATTTCTAGTCAACTATATTACGTCATCCGATTAACTTACTTAATTTTCAACTGTATTATTCTCTATCCCCACCCTTATTTAATTTTAACCACCACTCATTAACACTGTTGCCAACCTGACCTACTCTGAATTCTACTCAATTGTATTACGTCATCCAATTCACTTAATCAATTTTATTTCATTTTCTATCTAATTAACGTTTGTTTCCAAGCCAAATAATACTTATATTACGTAATTATCTAAACTTTATAAATCTAATATACACACACACAAACAAAATTGTATATAAATGCGATTGTACAGCTCAGTGAATGAATTCGCCGAAAAGAGTCTCTTCGCTGAACGCCTTCTTTTCTTTTATATGACTGAATGGGGATTTTCAAGTTACTTAAAAATTAATGGTAATCTGCATTTGAAGATAAATCAATATAAACCAATGGAATTCTAACCAATTCTAACGAAATAATGAAAATAAAAACATGGGCTCATATTATCCTGGTACATTTGTCGTTCTTGCTTTATTCAAATTTATTAATGCGAAGAATTGTATTCTATTTCCTCACCACTTTCTGAGACTTACAAACCAAACTATAGAAAATAATCTGACGCTCGCTAGTGACTTGCTACAGGATGGAGTTTCCTGGAGTTCTAGTGAGATGTTGTGACCAGTGGGGTCCAATTAGATGTCACGTGTGTGGATGGATGTTCCACCGCCGATGATTCCCAAACTAGGATGAAACAGCAGCTGTCCAGTACTCCTTGGTTTTCAATGGTTCTCCAACTGATATCAATCCGTGATCAACTCGTAAAAAAGTAGAATTATCAACAATCATAGCTAAGCTATGGTTTATCGTCAAATTCATTCAATACCTATTTGACTGCTGAGTCAATCACAGACTGGTTCTCTCAACTTTTGGACTATCCCTGCACTTTTTTGAATAACTAATATCAGTGTAGATTTCATCACTAACTGAAATTAGTTGAATTATCACTAGAAAACCAAGGAACACTGGACAGCTGTTTTGTCCTACTTCGGGACTCTTCAGCGGTAAACACCTAAGAAATCATCAGGCATCAGAAGCCAGGACATTTAGGCTATATGGCAAGCCCGTCAATCAGTGGAAGGTACAACTCTCTGTGTTCCATTGGCAGATTTATTGCTTAGATGATTATTAAGTATCTAAGTCTATGAATCACATTGGATTACATATTTCTGTTATTCATCATCATCATCATCATCGCTAATCGTTCTTTATAATTGTTAATGTCTTTTATCTACTGTTCCTTTTTGTATCTTTCTTTTCAGTTTGCTTTAATCTATGTATTTGCTTGTTCAAATCGTGAAACATGCTTACACATTCATGCTTATGTTTGCCTTATTCCTGTAAGTTTACCTGTTTTATCAAATTTGAAGTTTAATTTGTTTTATTATTATTATTGTTTCCTTTAATTCCTAGAGGAACATAGGGCTTCAGCCGTGCGTCTCCATTGCGTTCGGTTCTCTGCTAGAGTCTTCACCTGGCTCCAAGTCTGCCCACATGCTTTCATCTCCTCTTCACATAACCTCCTCCAAGTCACCCTTGCACTGACGACCAACTCGCCGCTTCCCTTTCGGGTTCCCCTCGAGCAATGGCTTGTCTAGTGATGTCACTTGATGGTTTCCTCAGAGTATGGCCAATCCATCTCCATTTCTTCCTGCCTATTTGTTTCACAATCGGTTCCTGCTGTGTTGGTTCGCTCATTGCCAGAGATCTCTGTTGCTGATGTTTTCTGGCCGGCCATCTGATCTTGACTGGTATTGAGCGAAGACAACTGTTAATGAAGGTCTGTAGTTTGTTTGAGATGCTCTTTATGACGCGCAGTGCAAGTCTCTGATCCGTATAGTAGCACTGACTGACTTCACATTGGAGTTGAAAATCCGGATGTTATTTTTCATGCTGAGAGTAGTGAAAGCTTGTCTTGCTTTTCCGATTCTTGCTTTGATATCCTCGTCAGTTCCGTTTGCCTGTAGTTGAAACGATGCTTCCCAGGTAGGTAAAGGAGGTTGTTTCTTTCAGGTTCCTTCCATTTATGCTGATTGTTGTCTGTTGTTGTTGTGTTAGTTATTTGATTTTCTCATTACTAACTCTCATCGTCTGCTAGTGGAATCACTAATATATGATTTGAATATGAAGTCATTACAAAGAGAGCATTTGTATTAAAATACCTGCCTAATGGTATTAATATCATCGAAATAAGTTGAAAATTTACTTTAATATAGTATTGAAGAGGAAAGAACAGAGTAAACATTATTTCAAAGTGAGAAATGATACACTGATCTCACAATTTCTTAATAGTATCATTTATTCTGTGCTTTTTTCATTCCCTTCGTTCCGAGTGGAACATGAGGCTTGTTAATTCCACGCCCAATCTTCCCTCATTTTCAAGGCGAGGTTTAGGAGTACGTCGGCTGGGAATCGAACTTCGCACCGCCTGAGTGTTCAGCGAGTATTAAGCCATAGAGGCAACCATTCCTTATTCGAGACATATTGTGTTTTTCGTTGTTTGTTGCTTATGAGGTTCTTCTTCTCAGAGTGTTGTCATTTCGCATTTCGTCGTCACTCACGCTTACCCCCACTACTACTTCTTCTTTATGTTACTCTACAGACTACTTATCCATTTATAAGTAGTATGCAACACAGCATAATAATTGTTTTCTTTATCTAGTCATGGCATTTATGTGACTTTAAATAATACTGACATATTAACGTATCCGAAGAACCATTAGGGAATGACACTTTCCTTTGGAAAGTTTACACTTTATCTTCACTAATATAGTTGTGTTTTTTTGTCTCATATGGAGACAATGATGCCTGTACCAATAATGTGAATTACTGAAGATGAAAGATGTAAGCAAATAAGAAAATAAAAATGAATTATAAGAGAATTTTACAACACTTTAATGCTTTTTAAAACGATATATGCTGAACTCAAGTATCATTCAGAATACTGTCACTCGTTATGTTTTATGTACCGTTAACAGTATCCAGCATATTGTTAGACTATTTAAGTCCACTAAGATAATTCTGTTCAAATCTTAGATTTCAAAGTGAATTTCGCTGTCGATTTAACATCATTCAGAGTACTAAGAAGAGCATCAATTAACTCCATCGATCAACAATAGCTCTATATCATGAATTGATATAAATTTATAATTCATTAGGTATCGAATTTCACATGAAAAGATTAGCGGTCTTTGATCATAGGTGTCTGCGTTCTATCTCCCGCGTGAAGTGGTATAATAAGGTGAGCAATATTGAGGTTAGGCGTCGAGTGCTAGAAAAGGCGGGGAAATCAGTCGACGAAACTGTGAAATTACATCGACTGAGATGGTTAGGACATGTGTTACGCATGTTTAGTCATCGCCTTGCTCGACTGACGGGCAATGTTAGCTGACATAGGGTCAGGCTGGAAAAGAGCCAGCGGCCGTCAAACCAAAACATGGCACCAGTCAATGAAATCTACAACAGTTAGTTTAAGCCACGTAGGGAGATGTAGACTCCCTGGTTGGGGTCCTCGAGATGGTAAAAACCACTGGTTGGAAACAATCGGTGACATGACTCAAAATCGTTCTCAGTGGCGGAGATGCATCCACTCCTTGTGACTCATGATTTCCAATTAAACTGTTTTGTTCTTCGTTATTACTATACCTTTGTCTCATCTCTGTTTACTATCATTATCATGCATTTCTCCTACTTTCTTCTCTTGCTTTGTGTGCCACATGGAGTGTGGCGACTTGAAGTGCCGCACATATGTGCAAAGTTCTATGTCGAAAACAGACAGACAGACAGAATTTCACTGTCCTAACATTTACTTTCTGCGTTAGATTCCTGTTTGCATGGAGGGTTCCGAAGACTTGAAATCTCAGGGTAGAACAAAGCTTCTTCAACAGAATCCAACCTTTAGGGCACAGAATGTTCATAAATCGCAATGTTTGAACATTTTTGATGCTGTCATTTAGCCTAATAGTTTACCTTACTGATTTATTGGTTTAATGTTTTTCAATTCTTCTATAAAATTATTTGAAATCGTATCTTTTTCATATGACTCAATGGGGATTTTCAATTATTTGAAATCATCTCAGAGTGCTTTAAAAAATATCAAAACAAGGTTTTTGTGAAAGTTTCCATGTGTAAGCCACAGTTTCTTCAGTCGAATTACTCGGATGGTATTCCAGTTTTGATTTTCTAAACACACTTGGTTTATTTGATATATACTTTATAGTGATTTTGATGTGGTTGTGTTCTCTGAGCTGGATAGTTAATTTGCGAAACTTTTGTCATTCTACTAAGTGACATCTTCAGCGCATACTTCAATTTGAAGTGAGCTTTTAGATTTCTCCACGAGCTTATTAATCATCTCTCCTGGCGGGTGACATTGAACGTGATCGGTTGCTTTTGTGTGTTTTCACAACTTCTAGGCTACTTGTATTGGAACTGATTGTTTCTTTGACTTGAACTTTGACCCTTTGTGTGTGAGGTTTGTTTCTTATCGGTTGGTAAATTTTGTCTATCTCGATGTGTCTATTGATTGGTGATTCACTGGAATGCCAAGCTTCTAAAAACTCTCTAGCATTCTTGGTGTTTCCTCTGTCTAATATTTGAACATTGTCCCAATCGAATTGATGTCCGTGGTCGTCTGTATGTAGTGATATGAAGGAGTAGATGTCATGTCTTTTGACGGCTAACTTATGTTCGTGGATACGGAGACGAAGGGGACGTCCACTTTGGCCAATGTAGTGTTTTTCGCAGTTGTTACAATTTATTTTGTAGATGATGTTGGTTTTATCTTCTTTCTTTGTTGAGTCTTTTGGTTGATATAGAACTGAGTGAAGTGTTTTTGTTGGTTTGTGTGGGACGTCAATTCCCAAAGGTTTGAAGATTCTTCCAGTGATTTCTGATATATCCTTTAGATATGGCAGGGCGATTTTCTTCGTGCTTCCCTTGGGGGCTTTTGGTTTGATATCACCAATATCAGGTTTGATTGCAGAAGCAGTGATGCAAAGGCTATAAAACATAATCCTACCAAAGATCAAACCCAAGATTTGGATAAGTTACGTAGACGACACATTTGTAATAATCAAAAGAAACGATCACCTAGTAGGGTGATGAAAGCTTCACAAATTAACTATCCAGCTCAGAGAACACAATCACACCAAAATCATCCACCTGAGCTACAAATCTTCTATATCATATACTTTATAGTGAATGTAATCGAACTTGGCGCTTAAATTGTTCCAGGAAATATTGTCTGAATAGCTATAGTTATTCAACCTAGACTTTGAATTCAGAATATTTGGACATTGAACTGTATTTTAAACAATTAGTTTGGTTGTTTAAATCATTTATTGTTTCAATTTATATAATTATGAGTTATTGATTAACTCTGTAGGTTGTATTACAAACAGCCATACACTACTTATTTGTGATAAGTCTAATGTTAGAATACTAATCAGTCAATTGTCTTTCATCTGTAGACTAAATGGAGAGTGTTCGTCGTTATTGTACACTAGTTAATTTTATGACTTCATAAATTTTCTCTCAACTACTTGATTTATATCAAGTCTGGAGTCTTACAGTCTATACACACTCACATCGCATCGAATTTTATAAGTTGTGTGTTCTCAACATGAAATTTAAGATCCATGTTTGCATTGTGGGCTTCATTTATAGCCTTTTCTGACCGATATAATATCAAAGTCTGTGTTAAAAGTCAATCCGAACGAAGAATATTCTTTTCAATAATTTCTCTTCAGGCTCTTACAATTATAAAATATAATATTTGTTGTCGTTACAATAATGCGAGCTAGTTATGCGGCGGATACATTTTTAACGTAGAATAACAGATTAGTTATGGGGTGTTAAAATAAATAAATAGTCGTATTTGTGTGACAAACATGCTCTGGGCTGAAATCGATTTCAAAATATTGTGAAAAGGGAGATAGTAAGACTGCAATGAGAGGTTCTGTTTAACACAGACCACTTTGTACTAGCCACTCACCTAACACCTTTTATAACCTTGAACTGACTTGTCAATTTTCCTACCCCACATTCTACAAATCTATTATGATTAATCACCCCCATTGTCTCCCGTTTTACAATATTTTGTAATCGATTTCAGCCCAGAGCACGTTTGTCACACAAATACGACTATTTATTTATTTTAACACCCCATAACTAATCTGTTATTCTACGTCAAAAATGTATCCGCCACATAACTGACAACAAATATATTTTATAATTGTAAGAACCTGAAGAGAAATTATTGGAAACGATATTCTTCTTTCAGGTTGACTTTTAATTCATAATATGGGAATATTCCACACTATCAAAGTCTGTGTTGTTTGGATTCATTTACCTCTCCACATCGAGTTAACATTAACTGACTTAGGATAAGGCTAGAAAAACGTTCTGCATGATCAAACCAAAACATGAAATCAGTTTATAAAGCCCTTAACTGTCGGTTTAAGTCATGCATGGAGGTATAAGCATCTTCAGCAGAAAGAAATCTTGGTATGTTTGGCATGCGATCTGCCCTTATCATCAAATGTAAGATGGTGCGGTGCTGTAGGACTAGTCTCCACCGACTGTTTCATTTATTTTGAAAGTTACACCAATCCTAATGGACGAAAATTTCAACACATATACAAAAGGTTTGTATGGTATTCACCAATTTACAGCATCTCTGTCACAGAAGTGATATCCTGCTATCGTTCTAAGGACACATATGTACTACTGTGAGACGTGACAATTGAAAATGAAAATCCTAAAGAGATCAGTTATCTTTGTCCATATATGTGTTCGCGCTCTATTTTCCGTGTTAACAGGTATAATATGGTAAGTAATAATGAAGTTGGGCGTAGAGTGTTTAGGTGAGGAGGGCACATTCCCGTTCAATATAGTTTTTTTTACCAAGTCCTACATTGAAAATTCAGTTCTGTTTATTTCTGTTATCCGGAATAAGTTTTTTTTATGTTCGGAAAATAGGAACCACATGTTTTACATTTACCAGGACGACGTCTTATACTTTTATTCGAATCATGTCATTTGCATAAAAGAAACTCCTCTCTAGTGTTTTATATACACTGAACAACCAGAACAAATTTTTTTTTTCAATAGTTAATTGTACTAATATTAATATTTATTGTTTTTTAGATTATATCCTATATTCTCGTGAGAAATAGTTTCAGTTCATTTCGTAGAACATACAGTATATTTTTTGCTTGGATTGGTGATATGTCATTAGAAGTGAGCTTTAAGTTTTGTTTTTAGTTTAATTTTTTGCTTATTTTTATCACAATCCTTTTTATCAACTATGTTTTACTGATTGTATTTTTATTAGTCTAATAGTTTAGAAGAGCATTCATTGCTTTACACATGATTTTTAGAAATAGACGTAATTTAGGGAATCGCATCATATTCATCATTGGTTTCGATTCTGAATCAAATTAGATGACATTTTGTATGATTGAGTAGTTGTATGCTCTCTCGCTCACTCTCTTCCATTCTGTTCAGAGAATAGTGATTCTCCAGTGCGACTATATTTCATTCTACAGCACCGAAGATGTTATGTGCTTAGTATATTTCCATTCTTTTCAGCTATACCACTGAGATTAATGAACAGTGTGGCTGTATGGAAAATTATACTACTTATGAGTAACAAGTAGTATAAATTTGAACACAAAGAAAAGTTATTACTGCTCAGTTGAGATTAATTTTAAAATTTTATCAAACAATCATTGCTCATAGCATTTTATAAAAGATAAGATAAGAGATATCCTAAGGAGGAAGAGGACAGTTACTCGCCCATGCAATCAGCTGGTGGTTGTGTTATATTTTTATTACGAATTGGTAGAAAGCGGATATCACTGTCCATTAGATCGACTGTCAGTGGTTGAATAGTCTGTGAGCTTGCTTTGTAACTGGATAGGCTGCTGGATTTGGATCCTGGTAGGTGCTTGCCGACGAAGAGTCTCAAACTCAGATGAAACAGCTGATCAGTAATCTCTGGATTCCCAATCGTTCTGTAACCCTATATCAGCCCGTGATCGGACCTGTAACCAATTAGATCCCTGCAAACCAATACTTGATAATTTTTTTAATAATAATTTGCTTTATTCCAGAAACAGTACTAGTGGTACAGTGTGGAATTTTCAGCATATATCTACAATATTTGCACCTAATTTTATCAAACATTTAAAAGGAGTATTTCAAAAAATAAAAACAACAACAAAAAAACACAAAAATAATGAAAAGGATGCGAAAAAATACCAAGAAATAAAAAGGAAAATAAATAACATAAAATAATATCTCAGTATTGCGTAGTGGAAGCTATGATATGTTTATGCATGATGACAGTAAAGCTATAATCGTACAAGAAGTTATGAAATGATATTTAAGAATGTTTATCGCCAAGATGATCAGTTAATGTGATGGAACAACACTAAACAATCATAAAATAACATTTCAGGGTTTTTTTATTGTCAGGTCTAATGCGGTGTTTGTAGTAGTAGTGTGAGTAATCCTTCATAATACAAAATTTTGAGATGATGGTAATGGCGTTCACAACCAATGATTGTCAGTTAATATTGCCGAAAAAAATAAAAAATAGGAAAAAACAACCACAAAACTAATAATTACATGATGGTTAATGACAGGACAATTTTGTAATACTCATAGTGCTTATATAGACGGAACCAGTAGATACACAAAAGAAGGAATACAGTAAAGTACAAAAAGGAAGCTAATGTTAATAATTTAGGTAGCTTAGTATGTTTAAGAAGGTGTTCACTATAGAATACAAAATAAGAGAGAAATAAAAGAGCCTAAAATTATGTTATTTTCAACAAAGCAAGTCATAAGTTTCGCGCTTAACATTGTCTCTGTCACTTAGAACACGGGCCAAATATGATATCGTTGAGTTCCTGTACTTGATTGTACGAGCACAGATTATTTTATACTGATTTCTGGTTCTACTTGATGAGATACAAGGCGAGAGTTGGGAATAGAGAGGGTGTTGGGGGTCGGAGAGTATGGTTTTAGATCATTTTTCACATGTATTTAGATCCCTTTCAACTAGTGACGAGCTGACTGAGTTCTACACCACTAGTCCTACTAACTACCTTCAACGTCCTTCTCAGGATGGCATAGTCCTTTTTCAGTAGCTCAGGAAAGACTAACGGGGAGCAGTAAAGTAGAATAGGTAGGATACGAGAGTTGACAAATTGTGAAAGTAGAGGTTGGGTGATTCCAGATTGTCTAAGTTTCTTAATGTAGTAGGTTAGACAGAACACTTTCTTAAAAATCGTTAGGATATGAGATGTCCAAGTAAGGTCGGAAGATAGAACTAGACCGAGGTATTTTGCATTAGACTTAGTTTCAATTTTAGTCTCCTCAATGCAACAGGCTTCATGATTACTTACTAGTGTTTGTATATCTCGTTTATGCCTAAAGGAGAAGTCAGTAGTCTGGCATTTTGAGGGATTCAGCATGAGACCATTTAGTTTGAACCACTCACTGATGTCCGACAGGAAGCTATTTAATTTGAAACAGTCTGACTGAGACTTAATAGAAAGCGAAACAGTCAGGTCATCTGCATATTTGAAAATTCCATACCTGTACCGAAAAACACGGTGTGGAATCAAGCTGTAATAAAAAAAAGTTGATTTCGTCTTTAAAAGGTAAGTCATGTAAGAAGAAGGAAAAGGAAAACGGAGAAAGAACAGCACCCTGAGGAACTCCAGCTTCAGTAATCAAAGGAGAGGAAGATACACCATTATATACCTTGTACTGCATCCTATTAGAGAAGTAAGAGTGCAGCCAGTTGATAGCCCAGGGCTCAGTTTGTGTAAGACTAAGCTTGTTTAACAATAGGCCTCTAGGTACAGAGTCGAAAGCAGATGTATAATCAAGGAACGTACAACGGACATACTTGGCTTCTTTGTCTAAGGAGGATACAATGTTGTGATGGAACACAGCAAAACCATCTAAAGTACTTCTCCTCTGTTTGTAAGCAAACTGCTTTGGATCGTTTGAGAAGCTTAGGGAGGGAACAAGTTTTAGTAACAATAATTTTTCCATTAGTTTCAAAAAAGGAGAGGTAATAGCGATAGGTCTAAACTTAACACTATTTCCAGAACCTGACTTGGGCACAGGGATGATTTTAATATCTTTTCACAGAGAAGGTACAACATTATTAGAAAAAGAAATATTCACAATGTTAGTAAGTGGGTTACTTAAAATATCAGCATATTTCCTTAGGACAATAGCAGGTATACCGTCAGGGCTTAGACTCTGGGAAGGTTTAAGAGACTTTAAACATTTAAGAACATCAGAAGTTTTAAAACTATGAAAGTCACTGGTCATGTTATTAGTTACATTGAAGCTGAAAGGTACATTGGGAAGGCGGATAAAAGATCTATTAAGAGTATCTATATAGAATAAATATTGTTTAGCTTCTTGATTTCGGATTTAATCTGATGCTCGCTAGCGACTGACTCTAAACAGGAAGTTACCTGGAGTACTAGTGAGAAGTTGTGTATAAGGATGGGGTGAGAAACCTCGTGCGAGTTATCTGGTGATTCATTCATTTCAGACAGAGCATGTCGTTTCATTAGTATGAAATATTGGATTGCGAATGAAGGTTAACTCTTTAAGTCTGGTGTTTGTGAGATGAGCAAAAAATGTTTACCATCAACTGGAATAACACTTCTATACTAAACTCTAATATCAACCAATACATGAAGAGGGAAGGCGCCAACATTGAGATCTGTCTTCAGACATACATGCATGCATGCGTGCAACAAAGGCAGTTCAATAAAACACTAAATAAAATTTTTTTTTCTCCAAAGGCAATAACTTTACTTTGATATATTATTGAAAATTAAAACGTTTATTTTGATTCTGTCTTAAACCTTCGATAAAATTTTATGATAACCATAAAAAAAATAAAATCTCTCGAATTTTTAAGAGTATTGGAATAAAAGATGAAATATTATAGTGAGTTTCAAGTTGAAATAAAGGTGGTGGTGGTGGAAGGAAAAGGAGAATTATTATTTCATAAATCCTTACGACTATTTATCATAAAGCTGCGTAAATTCTTTCAAGATATTTAAAGTTTCAATCAGCTCAACTTGTGAAATGAGTAATCTTTAATGTCAGTAATAAACGGAAGCGTTAAAAAAGCCTCTTTTTTATTCCCTTTCGCTCCCAGTGGAACATAGGGCTTCAAGCTAGAGGCTTGAAGTTTCGGTAGCAACGGTGTTTATTTTTACGGGATGGGGTTGCTAGCCTCATGCCCAACCTTCCTTCTTTACCAGTCGTATTACTGACTTAGTGGGGTAAAGGAGTGCGTCAGCCGGGGATCAAACCCCGGACCAATTGGGTGGTTGGCGAGCATTCTACCTCTGTGCCACCGACGCACATTTACATCTTTAGTCATTAAAAAAAACTATTTTCTAATCCTACGTAATCTTGTCTCTAAGCCCCTTGAAATCGATATTAACACCTTCAAACTTTCATATCAAGTTGAAAATCACTATGACCTTTAATCTCCTTCGTTACCATGTGGAATTAAATAAGAATAGTAATTGTATCTATGTAAACTTATGGATATAAATGAGATTTTACAGCTGCTTTTGATAATGAAATCGCCGAAAAGATATGTGTTGCTGAACTTCTTGTTCTTTTCCCTCTAATGTCCCGATGGGTATTTTCCACGATTTAGTTTAATTAAAACTACACGACGCATTCCTTTACCTCGCTAAGCCAGAAATAATGCTGGTAAAGAGAAAAGGTTGAGCATGAGGCTAGCAACCTCATCCTGTAAAAGTTAAACACTGCTACAGAAACTTAAAGCCACTAGCTTGAAGCCCTATGTTCCACTAGGAACGTGAAGGAAAACAAAAAAACACGTAACCACGCAAAAATATTACATATAACAACAACAGACAGGGGTTAAAAGCAAAAAAGTGAAACACAAGACAATCATAGCTGAGATAATGAAAAGTATATGTTAGGCATGAAAACTTGGTTTGTACTAAAAGTTAAGTCAACTATATGGTTTGGTTTAACAGTTAAAAAAAATATTAATATAGGTTCGTCAAAGTCTTAGTACCAACTCATTGTTTTGTTATTATTATTATATTTAAATTCGCAATTCGTACTTCAAATATTTTTGACTTGATATCGTAAATGTGGACAAATTCCTCTGGTTAATTTTTTTTTTAATTTTTAATTTCATCTATATTTTGAGTAAATCAGATGTAATATTGTGACAAATACTGAGAATTCCATTCTGTATTATAAGTATTGTTTTTGGAACAAAGTAGATTATCTGATTAAAAATGCCCATTAAAATTTTCAAAAGAATGGATACTGAACAACAAAGAATACCCTTTTCGATAACGCCTTCATCATCAGGCTCTACAATTATATATACATTATAATGAATGAATAAATGAATTAGTCTTATAAACGACATTAATGTTTAAATAACATCGAATCAATAATATTGATAGATTACAGCTGAATAGCATCAACATAAAATAAGCTGAATGTCAGAAGAATTAGGAAAGGTAATAGTGCAAATTCATGAGTTTATAGTTTCTATTGAAGGCCAGGGCAGTAGTAGGGGCTGGACTTGCTTCTTTTGAACACAGAACACTGGTTGTTTAAGGCGAATTGCAATAGCCTCTGCTGTTTGGAGTTTGCGGTAATTCGATGTTTTTGGCAATTTGTTAGGCACCCTGTAGATTATAGAGAAAGATTCTTCTACACTGGCTTTGTTACCGGTTTGCCCCAGATGGTCTAATTATCATTATTATTATTATTACTTCTGAGTGTGAGAATAGTATTCAAGTGATGATCAGTTGTATATTGTTTTAATAAAATAATAATAACAATAACTACTTTATTCTTTTCAAACAGTACAGAATTTTTAACTTATTTTATAGTATGCTATTTACTACTTACCTTATGGGTAAAATTTACAGTAATATTTACTGATGACTACGTTTCGAGCACAATTTACTTCTGCTCATGATCATATCAAGGTACTCACATAACTTCCTAACTTCGTGTATATAATTCCATTATTTTCCATCGCTTGACTTGATTGGTAGTAGTATTTTCGATATTTGCGGTATGAGTGAGACTATATCAAAATAAATTTTACCCATAATGGAATTATACTCTACTATCACAGTGCACAAGTTCTATTCTTATATTTACTACTCACCCAAAATATTCGAGTAGTATAATAATAATAATCGATAATGTATCACTTGAAGCAATATTGTTCCACTAATCCGTGAAGTTTTTCTACCCTGTCCATCAAAAAAATTCGTAGACGTGTTGGTTGGAAAGCTTTTTGAAAATGTGCATCAGAGTAGGTTACAATCCATAAAAATAGTAGGTTTGGTTAAAGCAATATGAAATGAAGTAAATATGATTCATTTTAATAATAATAATAATGATTTACTTTATTTCAAAAACAGTACTTGTGATACAGAATGGAATTTTCAGCATTAATCACAATATTGCATCTAATTTCCTCAAATTATAAATAAAATTAATCACACAGAAAAATTTTCCACATTTACAATAGGAGTAATGTCAAAAAAGAAAACATGCAGCACATAAAATGGAAATAATAATAATAATGATAACAGCTAAGGTAGTAATAATAATACAAGTGGAAATTGCCGTGGGCTTGTTTCACACAGTATTGTCGATGCAGTATACAAATCCTTGCATGATTAAAAATATTTAATATAATGTTCTCCTTACATGATATGGTGAGGGAAAAAACAAAGATTGCAGCAGTCATATGCATAAGTTGGTGTTTGCAGTTATGAAAGTGAAAACAAAGAAGCAACAGGACCATAAATATAATAGAAATAATAAAAGTAAAACTTGAAGGTATATAAGGATGGATAGAGGAGATTGTTTATTTACCAGAGGAAAAAAGGTTATTGATATAAGTATAAAACTTGGGCACTGTGGTAGAGTATAATTCCATAATGGATAAGATTTTATTTTGATAAATCACACAGTGTAGTACAGTTATATTAACTGATGAAGTTTCGAGCACAAACTATTGCTCATAATCATATCATACTTGATATGATTATGAGCAATAGTTTGTGCTCGAAACGTCATCAGTTAATATAACTGTACTACACTGTGTGATTTATCAAAAGAAAAAGAAAAAAGGTTAGTCAATTCTTGCCTGACGCTATTTTCATCACATAAAATACATGCCAAGTATGGTATCATAGAATTTTTATACTTAGACGTGCGAGCATACAGTTTTCTCAGGTTACTTCTTGTTCTACCTGAGGAGATCCAGGGTGGTAAAAAAAGTCTGGTAGTCCGCCCAGTGGTGTTTAAGCTAACCGTCAGTTTATGTAACAGTAAGAATGATTTTAAATTCAAACTTTTCTACATCCAATTTTATTTTTCACTGTGTGTTAATGCCTTTTTTGTTTTGTTTAAATTTTTAGTTATTCATTGCTCAATACCACATATGGTTATCAGCTGATGCTTATGGAATACTTGTTCTCCTGCCAGGTTTTCCATTAATTAATTTATCCGTTACATCATTTATTTTTATATGTATTTGTCATGAAGTGCATACACTGACACGTCGATTACAAAATTATGTCATACCAAATTCACCATTAAAACTTATCCGAAATGTATTAATATTTACATTAGTATTTCATTTAATCACTAATTCAACATCACAAATGTTACAATGGGATTTTTTGTAAATTTATTTGCCTTTGTCTGCTTTCTTTCTTTCTTCTACATTCTTTCTTTCTTTCATTCGTCTACTTCCTTATTTTCCTTTTTTAATTTACTTAGTTTCATGAATGTTTTCCTCTAAGTAGTATGTTATCTATTTAGTTTTGCATTCTGTTTACTTAGAATTCTTTCTTCTTGAAATGTTTTTGTGTGTTTGTCTGTCTATCTATGTTTTTATATGTACATATACACTATAAATACTAGTCAACATTTATATATGTATTTACACTACAATACAATACATATCATATATGAATTAAGCTTATTATTTTCTTTTCCCTTCGGTTCTGAAGGGGAATATAAGGCTTTAACAGTACATCTACATTTCATTGTGTTCTGTGTAGTCCGTTTCCACGGTTGCCCATTAACTTTCCTTTCCTCTTGACACAATCTTCCTCCATGTCAACCTCGAACTAACGCCCAACTTGTTGTTCCCCGTTTGGGTTCCACTCGAGAGCCTGTGCCCAGGTGTGTGTGTGTGTGTGATGTCACTCAATGGTCTCCTTATTGTGTTTCCAATCCATCTCCATTTTGTATCTGCATATATTTGTTGTGCGTTGAAGTTTCTGTAGCAATTTGGTTAAGTTTTGCTGGTGGAGTTGCTAGCACCACGCCCCAACCCTCCCTCTTTATCCGGGCTAGGTACCGGCTAGAATCGGGAAAGCGAGAAACACATTCATCAACCTGAAACCAATCTGGAAATCTTCGTCACTCAACTCAGCATCAACAACAAAATTCGGATTTTCAATACAAACGTCAAGTCAGTCAGTTCTTCTATACGGATCAGAAACTTGGCGGCGGGTCACAAAGAATATTTCCAACAGCCTGTTGCAGACCTTTATCAACAACTGTCTTCGTTCTATACTGAAGATCAGATGGCTGGAAAGAATCACCAACAAGAAGCTATGGGAACAAACAAAACAAGAACCAATCGCCCAACAAATATGCAGGAGAAAGTGGAGATGGATTGGACACTCACTGGCTGAGGAGGCCGCTGGGTGACATCGCGCGTCAGGCCAGCGCTCGAGTGGAACCCGAAAGGGAAGCGGCGAGTGGGACATCCAAGGGTCACATGGAGGATATCGTGTGAAGAGGAGTTGAAACAGTATGGATTAACATGGATGCAGGTGAAAAGTACAGCAGAAGACAGAAGCAAGTGGAGGCGTGCAGTTGTGAAGCCCTATATTCCACTAGGAACCCAAGGGAACAATAACAATAATATATTTGTTGGGTGAAAGGTTCTTGGTTGACTCGTTTTTTGCCGGAGTTCTGTGTTGCTTAATCTTTCTACTCACTCATCTTATCTTCCGTATTCAGATAGTGAGGACAGTTGTTAATGGAAGTTTGCAATAGTCTGTTGGAAATGCTTTTAGTGACATGCGCAAAGACTTTGAACTATATATAAAGCACTAATTGATTTGACATTAGTGTTGAATACCCAGATCTTGTTCCTTATGCTGAGTGTAGTAGACTTCTACACTGATTTCAGATTAATGAAGGTCGATCTCGTCTGACTTTGACATGTTCATCTGTGTTGTTTATATTGAAACAAGGCTGTCTAGATAAGTGTAACAGGTGACTGGTGGTGATTTATGCTTGTTGTTATTGTCAGTTAGGTATCTTCATCATTTCTGTCTTCATTATGTTCACCTGAAGTCCTGTCTTCGCTACTCCGTATAGCTTATTAGTTCACTAGATGGCTCTAAGCTTGGAAAAAAGGGGAAAGGTTCAGCTAGCGTCCCCATCTGGAAAATTGGTCTAATCTCTACATTTCTTGTCAATAATTAGTCTGAATTTTACTTTATTGTAAAATTAATGATAATAAATTATCACTAGTGGTGAGACTATCTGACATAGTTTTGAGTTTCCACACTTGTAGTTATAAAATAGGCAGTGATTAAAGTTGAAATGGAAGTTTGAGTTGCGACAGGATTCGAACTAGTGGCCTCCAGATTAGTAGCTCACAGCCTAGCTGTGATAGAGCATTGGGCTAGTAATTCGGAAGTCGCTTGGTTCGAATTCCGCTAAAACTGAATTCTCTCTGTCAAGTTCACAATGTAGTCATCAAGTTAAGTGGCTTGCTATCGTGGTGTAGTTTGACTACAGCACTAGGTGATGCAGATTCGTATCCTTACGAGAATTGACATTACATTCTTCAAAATTGTAAATGCCCCTGTGACGAGTCCCAACGACGACGAAACCTAGATCCAGTGTTTCATGCCGATTGCCTTCAACCATCTAACATCAATTCTGAAACTATAGCAGCCCATAACCAAGAACCTTCTAAACCACTTTGAGTTAACCAATCACATTATTAATCATAAATATCATACGTAGAATTCTGTTTGATCTTCCTGTAGATTTTTGAAAGAGAAATTGGGAAACACTCTTAGAATGCATCAAAGAGAATTGTCCTGTATAATTTAGACTGTCTATACGTTTTAAATATAATGTATCAGTTTTAAAGTTGCCTGGATTGGTTGTTCAAGGTTACTTATGAAATTCTTGTTCTTGGCTGCTATAGATGGTTGGAGGCAATCGGCACGAAGCCTTGGACACCTAGGTTTCGTGCTAGTTGGCACTCGTCAGCAAGGCGTATCCGCAACCTTGAAGGAACTCATGTCCCTTCTGAGATTTGAACCCGCGTCACCCAGCGCTGCAGTCAGAGATGATATAGAGTTTATTTATTATTTTATTCCTTTACGTTCCCAGTGGAACATAGGGCTTCAGGCTAGAGGCTTGAAGTTTTGGTAACTGTTGTGTTTATCTTTTGCGGGATGGGATTGCTAGCCTCATACCCAACCTTCCTTCTTTACCAGTCTTAGTACTAGCTTAGCGAGGTCGGGGATTGAATCCCGAACCACATTCGTGGTTGACGAGCATTCTACCGCTGTGCCACTGACGCACGCTATACAGTTTAACCTCGCTTGAATTATTATAAAAAATTTGTTTCAAACTGAATTCTGTATGCATCTAGTCGCATTTCAGTTTACCTTGTATAAACTGACTAATCATTTCAAAGATCATAAGGAGGATTATAGGGACTGAATGACGGTTCAACACTGAACTTTGTACAGAAGTGTATCATTTCAAGAAATGAGGAGATATAAAATGGAAGTGTTGGGAATCTGCGAGAGCAGATGGAACGGATGTGGGAGGAGCCAACTGTCAACTGGAGAGACAATAATCTACTCCGGTCACCCAGAGGACGATCACGACCACACCGAGGGAGTAGCCATCATGATGTCACCAACAGCAGCCAAAGCTCTCATGCAGTGGGAACCAATCTCCTCCAGGATAATGACAGCCAGGTTCAACTCAAAAGGAAAAAAGGTTACAATCATTCAATGCTACGCGCCTACAAACGTCTCAGAACATGAGAAGAAGGAGGATTTCTACAGTCAACTACAAACAGTAATGGACAATGTCCCAAAGAGCGATATCAAAATCCTGATGGGTGACATGAATGCGAAACTGGGAGGAGACAATACAGGAAGAGAATTCACCATGGGTCGTGAGGCCCTCGGTGAAATGAACGAAAATGGTGAACTCTTCTCAGACTTCTGTGCCTTCAATGATTTGGTGATTGGTGGCAGTGTGTTCAAACACAGGGATATACACAAGGCAACATGGATTTCACCAGATGGACACACCAAAAACCAGATAGACTTCATTTCAATCTCAAGGAAGTGGAGACGGAGCCTACTGGACACAAGATCGAGGAGAGGAGCAGATGTGGGTTCAGACCACTATCTAGTACAAGGGACTTTCAAGGTGAAGCTAAAAGCCTCGAGGATACCTGGGGATAGGCCACAATGCAAGTTCAACACTCACAAACTGAAGGACACAATCACACAGGACATTTTCACTGCAACTGTCAGAGCAAAGCAGGAAACACTACGTGGCACCACCGAGGAATCATCCGTGGAAGACCATTGGAACTCTCTGAAGGTAATTTTCAACGAAACGTGTTCAACGGTTTTAGGAAGAAAGAAGAAACAAGACAAGGAATGGCTCTCAACAGACACTTGCAAGCTAATAGAGGAGAGGAGAAAGGTGAAAGAGAAAATGATTCAATGCAAAGATGGACAAGAGAAGGAGACGCTGAGCTCAACTTACACAGCACTGGACAAAGAAGTGAAGAAGAGTGCCAGGGAGGACAAAAGACAATTCTACGACAACCTGGCTACTGAAGCTGAGAAGGCAGCAGGCAATAGGGACCTGAGGACACTATATCAGATAACCAAGTCTCTATCCGGGAAGAGATCAACACAAGTGAAATCTATAAAAGACGGCCAAGGGAACCCAATGACCAAAGAAGAAAGACAGATTAAACAATGGGCGGACCACTTCAAAGGACTCTTGAATCGACCACCACCAACAACCCGTCCAGAAATACCAACAACAGCACGTACACAACTGCAAGTTGACACCAATCCTCCAACGAAAACTGAAGTCCTGAATGCAATGAAGCTTCTGAAAGCTGGAAAAGCAGCTGGACCAGATGGAATACCCCCGGAGACACTGAAAGCGGACCCAGAGACGACAGCAGATATGCTGACTCCATTATTGCAAAAGATCTGGAAAGAGGGAAAGGTGCCTACTGACTGGAAGAAAGGTTACCTAGTGAAACTACCAAAGAAGGGCGACCTGGGACTCTGCAAGAACTGGCGAGGAATCATGCTCCTGTCGACGCCAAGTAAAATCCTGAGTCGCATCATCCTGGAGAGAATAAAGGACGCACTGGATACAGAACTCCGACCAGAACAAGCTGGATTCAGGAAAGGCAAATCATGTTCTGACCAAATTGCAACTCTACGCTCATCATCATCGAACAAAGCATGGAATGGCAATCAAACATCTACCTCAACTTTATAGACTTTGAGAAGGCCTTCGACAGCGTTGACCGCGAAGTAATTTGGAAACTACTCGAGTACTACGACGTACCCCAAATATTCATCAACCT